CTTCAGCCTCTGCCTTCAGCTCAGGTCATGATCTCAGGGTCCTGGGATCAAGCCCCGCATTAGGCTCTCTGCTCAGCAGGGAGCCTGCTTCCCCCTCTCTCTCTGCCTGCCCCTCTGCCTACTCGTGATTTCTCTCTCTGTCAAATAAATAAACCTTAAAAAAAAGAGAGAGAGATTAAGGTGGGCAGTAGCAGGTATATGCAGATGGTTCATAATGCCTAGCATTCTACGAAGTAGAATGGATCAGTGTAGGCTAAAATGATCACTGGGTCAGGTCTACAAACATCTGTTAAGAGCTTACAATGTCCCATGTATGGTGCTGGGAACACAGAGATGAAGACAACATCAGTCTAGCCCTAGAAGGACTGGTGGAAGTGATAAAACTTAATCTCAGTGTGATGTGATATGACCCACAATGAATCCACATTAACAGAGTAGCACATTCAGATGTATAAAATAGCATGGGCACAGAAAGCGGCTCAGGATTGTTGAAACAGAAGACAGAGAAGGAGGGAGTACAGGGACTGATGAATGGGGATGCAAAGCAGGCAGGGCTCAAATCTTGGAAGTCCTGGTATGCAGTGCTAAAAAGCTTAAAAATTTATCTTTAAAATACTGTGAAACTACAAATGTTCAAGCAACTGAGGAATTGTCATATGACTTTTAATCTTATTTTTAATTAATTTTTTAAAGATTTTATTTATTTATTTGTCAGAGAGAGAGAGAGAGAGAGAAAGCAAGAGCACAAGAGGGGGAGCACCAGGCAGAGCAGGCAGAGGGAGAAGCAGGTTCCACAGTGAGCAAAGAGCCTGATGCAGAACTCAATCCCAGGACCCTGGGATCATGACCCAATGCCAAAGGCAGACGCTTAACAACTGAGTTACCCAAGCATCCCTTTAATTAATTAATTAATTAATTAAATTTTAAAAGATTTTATTCATTTATTTGACAGAGAGAGAGACGGTGAGAGAGGACACACCAGCAGGGGGAAGTGGGGGAGAGAGAAATAGGCTTCCCACCAAGCAGGGAGCTTGATGTGGGGCTCCATCCCAGGACCCTGGGATCATGACCTGAGCTGAAGGCAGATGCTAAATGACTGAGCCTCTAATTTAGTTTTTAAGTAACCTCTAATTTAGTTTTTAAGTAACCTCTACACCCAGTGTGGGGCTTGAATTCACAACGCTGTTATCAAAAGTCACAAGCTCTACCAACTGAGCCAGCCAGGTGCCCCATCAGATGACTTGTTAAATACAGCAGTAAGGAAGAGAGATACGACAGACACAAGAGTTAAGGCAGGGAACTAGAAGGAATGTCTTGAAATAATCTAGGTGAGAGAGGACAAGAGCCAGAACTAAGCCAATGGCAGTGAAGATAGAAAGGGGAGAGGAGATATGTAGGAGGTAAAGTAAGCAGATCATTATGTTTGATGGTATGTGGGCAGAAAGAGCCCAAGTTCTAAATGAAAAAATAATGAATGCCCTAAGGTATGGAGATGTTGCGTTTGAGGTACACATGAGGATGCAGGTGGAGATGTCCACTAATCAGTCTGCAGCTTGGAAGAGAGGCTGCAGATTTGAGAATCACTAGTGTCAAAGAAGTGGCAAATTACAAGAGTAACTGAAATTAGCCAGAGAGAACTATACCAGAGAGGATTATACCAGTGAGGAGAGATAGCCTGAGATGCAACCAGTGGAGAAGACAAGTTCAGAGACTAAGGAGGAGTTTCAAGGAGGGAGTTTTTGTTGTTTCTTTTTTAAATATTTAATTTATTTATTTGACAGAGAGAGAGAGATCACAAGTAGGCAGAGAGGGAGGGAGAAGCAGTCTCCCTGCTGAGCAGAGAGCCTGGATTCAGGGCTCAATCCCAAGACCCTGAGATCATGACCTGAGCTGAAGGCAGAGGCTTAACTCACTGAGCCACCCAGGTACCCCTCAAGGAGGAAGTTTTATAGTTAATGTTATAAAATCCAGGAATGAATTGAGAAAAGAGAAACAATCACAACAATCTAGTAATTAGGAGATTACTAGGAACTTTTTTTTTAAAGAGAGGTGGGGAAAGGCAGAGGGAGAGAGAGAATATTAAACTTGCTCCACACCCAGCATGGAGCCCAATGCAGGGCCTGATCTCATAATCCTGAGATCATGACCTGAGCTGAAATCAAGAGTTGGACACTTAACCAACTGAGCCACCAGGTTCCCCACTAGGAACTTTTTTTAAAAAAATTAACATATAATGTACTATTGGTTTCAGAGGTATAGGTCTGTGATTCATCAGTCTTATATAATACCCAGTGCTCATTACACCACATGCCCTCCTTAATGTTCATCACCCAGTTACCCCATCCCCCTAGTCCCCTAGGAACTTTTCTTTGAGGACTTCAGTGGTGGTGTAGGGCTAAAGCAGGACTGTAGTTGGGTAAAGAGGATTCTCCTTTGAGAATCTTAGATGAGAAGGTAAAGGGATAAGAAGGAAAAGAAAAGCTTGGGGTGCCTGGTGGGCTCAGTTGGTAGAGCATGTAACTCTTGATCTTGGGGTTGTGAGTTCGAGCCCCAAGATGGGGGTAGAGTTTACTTTAAATAAAATTGCAAAGCTTATTCCAAATCCTTGCACCATGTACCACCCCACAGTGCATATACCCAAAATGGAATAAAATTTTTTTCTTAAAGATTTTATTTATTTGACACAGAGAGAGAGAGAGCGCACCAGCAGGGGGAGTGGCAGGCAGAGAGGAGGGAGAAGCAAGTTCCCTGTTAACCTGGGAGCCCGATGCAGGGCTCCATCCCAGGACTCTGGGATCATGATCTGAGTCAAAGGCAGACACTTAACCCACTGAGCCAACCAGGTGCCCCAGGGAATAAGACTTTAAAAAACCAAACAGAACAAATCAAAACAAAACAAGAGAAAAAAGAAAAGAAGTTAGTCATATGTTGTTTGGTAGGTTGATGAGATCTGGGCATGCTCATGTGCTGAAGGGAAGTTGCCACTAGAGAGGGAAAGGTTGTTAACACAGAAACAAAGGGCTATGAGCAAAGTCATTCCCTAGAAAAATGGGAAGAGTTGGGGTTCAGACACCATGCAGAGGACGTGGCCTTGAAGAGATGTCAGAGTAAGGGAGAGGAATAAGATGCATCACACATACCTCCATTTTCCTCCTCACTGAAGAATCTTTCTTTGCAAGATGCTTGATATGCCTCATTCTCTCTTTTAGAGCAGAGTCCCTGGGGACAGTGTGAGTCAGTATATAGAGCATCAAATACTTCAAAACCAATCTGATTACCACACTGACCAAGTTGCACTGTTACTACTGACATGCTGAGAGGCAAACTAGGCTTATTCCCTCAAAAAAGTGAGCAACCTGTAATAGAAAAATACAGGCTTTGAGAACCACTACAGTACTAATAACCAAGGAACAAATAAAATATCATATGTATATTGATAAAAATATAACTTAAAAATGCCATACATATGGTGTTATAGATGAAATAGTTAGGTTGTCTAAGGAACTAATCATTCAAGGAAGTTGTTTTCTTTCTCTACATGGTTTTGGGATTTGGAATTTACTGTACCCAAATGCATTCAAAGACAGCTCAATAGTTACTGAAATCTGATTTGTAGTCACTGTGTCCCCAAGCATGCATTTAAAACAAAACAAAACAAAATGAATGCTAGTTGAAGGAATTCCTAGTTCAACTTCAACTACACTTCACACAGAAGTTAGCTCAACAATTGTACACTTAATTAACTTTAATTTTCTCTCTTCTAACTAATGACTTTCTCTCTCTACCAATCACCCTCTGGCCTGGTAACTACAGTAACACAAGAAATATGTGCGTTTAGGTCAGGTAGAGAGCAAAGAAGACAAAGCTTGGAAACGGAGGACTAGATGAAATAGGAGACCGAGCTTTCACTATTTTTAACAATGAAAAGAGGATTTTTGGTAAAGACCTCACACCAGGTCTTTGCAGCACTGGAAAGAACAGTGGCTAGTGGCTTTCGAGCCAGACTGTACTTACAATTTTCCAATAACCCGGCAAACTAGGTATTCTCATTTAATAGATAAGGAAACTGAGACTCTGAAAGGTTATGTGACTTTCACAAAGCCACTGAAATAGAACAGCAAAACCAAGTTTCTCCCTTTCTCCACTAGCCCCAGGAGCTCCCCATAAACCCCACTCACTGATAGACCCAGAACCAGCCGTTTCTGTCCTGTTCAAACTTCAGAGGGCCAACCCCCTCATCATGCGCATGCTCACTGTCAATTAAAAAAAAACTACGGAGGACGAATGCGCATGTTCACAAACTAAGAGTTTTGTTGGTTGTTTTTTTTTCCTATTCAGAAAGGTTAATTACGCATGTTCAATTTCAATTTATCAACTTCAGACTAGGTACGCATGCTCATTGTCCATCAAAAGCTTTAGCCGACAATGCGCATGATCTAGCTACCTCAAGCGGCTTCGGTCGGGGTTCTGCGCATGTTTCTGCCAGTACCTGGCTCCAGGCGATAGCTCTACGCATGTTCATTGCCCACTGTTCGGCTTCACACAACCTTGTACGCATGCTCTAGCGCTGAACTTGAGGAGCCAGTCTAGGGCCTAGGCGCAGACGCACTGAGCCCAAGCAGCCGGTGATGGCGGCAGCAGCGGCGGTGGCTGCGGCGGGTCCGGGCCCATGAGGCGACGACGGAGGCGGGACGGCTTTTACCCAGCGCCGGACTTCCGAGACAGGGAAGCTGAGGACATGGCAGGAGTATTTGACATAGACCTGGACCAGCCAGAAGACGCGGGCTCTGAGGATGAGCTGGAGGAGGGGGTGAGGCCCGGGGTCCCGGGGGGCCCGAGGTGACAGGGCCAGGGCGGCGGCGCGGGCCCTGGAAGCCCGGCGCGTCGGAGAGCTCGGAGACCCGGGGAAGGGGGGACGCGAGTAGTCTCCAGGAGGAGTGTAGGCGCCGCGCGGTCCGAGGTAGGGGAGCGGGTGGGGCGGACCTGGCCCTAGGTGTGAGGCCGCTTCGGGGCTCGCAGGTGCAGGTCGCGCCTGTAGCCCCAGATCAGCGCAGCCCGGAGCAGTCTATTTGTGGAGGGAACGAGAAAGGGCGCGTGGTCGATTCCTCGAGCTGTTGAACTTGAGTGTGGCGGGGCGCGAGTGGTGTAAGCGCGTGTTGGGGGGAGGGGGACTGCGCTTTCTGGGTGTCCCTTAAGTGCAGGTGAAGTGCGGAAGGGTTTCCCTTCGAGTGTAAGTTTTCAAGTATTAAATCTTAAGACCTCCCACAACCACCTCTCTTCTCGGCCTGTCGCTTCTCTCCTAGGAAGCGCTCAGCTGTTAGAAGTGACAGCTGAAAACTTCTGTCGGGAGTAGCGCTGCCGCTGCTGTTACAGCCACCAGGAGTTTTATTTCGGGAGCAAGGGGGCTCTGCTGCATCTTCCAGGGTTTGTTTGTTTGCTTTTTTTTTTTTTTTTAAACACCCTCTTCCGTGTGACTTTTTTTTTTCTTAAAGCATTTATAATGGCACACGGCATTTGTAAGTTTTCCCCTAGTTGAAGATGTCTACATTTTTTTCAAAATACTTTGTGTAATTTGGGGGTGGAAAAAAACCAGCGTTGACAGCTGTGATTTGGCTTGCCAAAAATAAATTGCTTGTACTGAGACTTGTGAATGGTGGTGTGAGGGCTTTCCTTGCTGTAATTTAGGGTACTAAATTTAGAATTGTTTTTTTCCTAATGCATAGCTTGGTTTTACCTTTGCTGTCTTAATAGTTTGTTATTCTTTATGGAATACCATTCTTTTTTCAAGATAAAGTTATTGAAAAATCACAAATTGCACTTGAAGTTCAAAAATACTGTTGTCATACTAAGTCACTGATTCTGGGCAAATGATCACCCGTGGTAACCTCATGATAATTTAGATTTTAAATCCCACTGTCTAGGTGAGCATATGAGTTAAGGACTGGTGTCAGATATTTGCTCTATGTAAGAAACTTCCCTTTTCCTCACCTGATTTTCCTCTCCTGGAAAGTAAGTTGTTCCCTGCTTGTTGCCAAAAGATTGAGATGCTGTAAAAAAAAGAGCTTTGAACATTGTAAGAAACTAAGTGGGCTGAAATAATATTGTCTTTTCATAATGAAATGAGTCTAAATAAAAATCACAGTTTGTAAGGTGGGTATTGAGTTGTATACTTTTTAGTATGTTTGCCTGCAGAATTCCAGGTAGCCTCTTAATACCTGATACACTACATACAATTTGAAACAGATATGGAATTACTTTCACTATGTATTGCATACTCTCATTAATTATATTGGCTCCATATGGCAGCGGCTTTGGAGTGGGGCAAGGGAGAAAACTGGGTAATTCAGGAGATGTTAAAGCAGTTGAAAGTAAAACACTGTATTAAGCTTTCTGTTATGAAATGGGATCTCCTTGAGATGTGTTTTGGCCTGCTCCTGTACATTCATTTTGTTGGGTACGAGCAAACAGGTTTTGAGAGAGTGTGGAAGTGGAGGCCAGAGAAATTGGTAGAAATATGAAAGAGAAAGAAATATGACCACTACCCTGGGGAGGGGAACTTTGGAGAAAAAGCAAAGGTAAAGAGGATTTTGAGGAAGAGCCTTCAGTAGAATATATCTTACTTAGCAATGCTTTTGGAGTTGAAAATATTTCTTTTGAATGTGTTTTTCCAAGAGATTCCTCAAGGTAGACAAATGAAAAGAGTTGAGAATGGGATTGGGTTGGCCACTTGAGGAAATGCAGTGACATCCAGGTTTCTCTAAAACAAAATATAAAAATTCTGAAAAACAAGAAAAGTTTAGAATCTTGGAAAATCTGGGTAGTTGTGAATATGCAGCATTTAGTACACAAGCTTTTAAAACATTGGTCTCAGAGAAGCCCCACTTCATCATTGTATAGCAGGGAAACCGAGGCATAAACCAGAGAGGTGATTGCTCAAGACTACATAGATAACTAGTAGTTAACTAGTAGTGTCTTCTGATTCCATTCAGCCTGCAGGCTTCATTGCACAGCTTCTTCATTGCATTTACTTGTCTTGTTCATTCTGTACCTCTTTGTGGTGGGTTAAAAGTTAATTCAAATCCCTCTAGGCATTGTCACTGACTGTGTGACTTTTTTTTTTTTTTTTAAGATTTTACTTATTTGAGAGAGAGACAGCACAAGCAGGCAGAGCACCAGGCAGAGGGAGAGGGAGAAGCAGGCTCCCCGCCAAGCAGGGAGCCCAATATGGGGCTCTATCCCAGGACTCTGGAATCATGACCTGAGCTAAAGGCAGGTGCTTAACTGACTGAGCCACCCAGGTGCCCCTGACTGTATGACTTAGAATAAATTGCTTAATCTGACACTTTTTTCTTCTCTGTAAGATGAGGATTATGTGAGTTAAAGTATGTAAAATACTGCCCTCTTAAAATATTCTGGCATATTAAGCAGTTAGCTTGTTCATGGAAATACAGCTTGTCAGTCTTACTCATTGTCAAAAAACCAAACGTTCAAGTTTACCCTCGTTTTTGCCTAGAGACTTGATAAATGCAGTTATACCAGAGGTGCTGCATTTTTGAAACTGTAGGGTTTTTTTTTTTAATTATTGGTCCTAGTTAGAGATATATGCCTTTTTAGATATGTTATACTGACTAAATTTATATTAGCTAATATATATGTTTATACAGCATAGTTAATTCTTCAGTGAGTAAAGGATGTCCTCATGAGGACAGTAAATGAAAGCATTTATGGATAAAGCTGAATGTCTCTTAACTAAGAAAAGACCCTGATTGAATACCTCAAAAGACTATATTAAAAAGCAATGGGTAAGAGTGTTTTTTGGGAGGGGGCTGGATGGGTAGGTTTGGATCTTTTTTGTTTGTTTTTCACCGGTGATGGTATAATTTGGGGAGAGCGAGTTGAAACCTTTAAGGGAAAGTTTTCCTCTAGAGATTTTCATTAGATTTTGAAGATGTTGTAAACTTCTGTTTTCTATAGAGACACAAAAACAGTACTAATCCTTAATTTTTACTCTACTAATGCAAAATTTGAAGTAGTCACAGAAGCTTACTGCATGAGTTTCAGATTGGGATATCAGATTTTTATTGAGCAAAAAGTTTAAAATTTTTTAGTGCTTTGAAAAATATAGTGCTAAAGCAAATATTCACTGTTATGAAAAATTATAGAAAAACATCAGTAGTTATCCTGCATTATAATAGGCATTATAAAGCAGTTTTAAGTAGCTCAAGATTTTGAGCAGGGTTTACTCCTTTTCTCCCAATTCATTGATTTACTGAATCTTATTTTATAATGAAATGTCTATGACAAGCAGGCAAGTGGATAAACCGTATAATGGATATCTGGATTAAGGCTATTTCACCCATTGTGTAACAACTTATTTACATTTTTATGAAATGTTCTCTCTTTGATTGGGATTTTAGGCATATTAAGTTGAATTTATATACAATTTTAACTTAAAACTTGGGAAATAGTTTGGTGGGTGGTTTGAAACATACCTTGGATAGTTCCTTAGGTGAGCAGGATTCATGTTGTCAATCATAGTAGCACATGAAGAAAAGCATTAAGTCATAAAAAGTCATAAAGCTTAAAGCGGAGGAAAAAAAAATCTAACTGAAAAGTTTCCTATGAAAGAGTTGTCTAGGTATTATATAATGTTAGCCTGATGCTTCAGGTGTGAGACTTTTCTAAAGGTCACGTGGGCCACAGAAAAGCATTGTGCCTCAAATCTTTTCTGCTCCAGAAGGTAACGGGAGGAAGTTATAAACACAGATGGAGGTGGTAATACAGGCCTGGCTGGCTTCGGAAATGAACTATAGCCGCAGGCCGTATCTTTCTAGGTGTCTTCAAAGTCATGGTTTATGTTAACTACCCTGTGGTCTTTAATTTAAAATTAAGTAAAACTAACATTAAAGTAAAAACAATTATGTATTACTACTTTTATCACATTTGAGAGAAGTTAGTCTTTTGTCTTTAAAGTGAAGCTATTATATGTGAAGCACTGGAGACCAAAAAAACCTTTAACCATAACTACTCCTACCCACCCAAAAGAAACTGTATCAAGTTGAAACTGCAAGAATTTTTTTCCCCTTGGTATTGCCCCATCCATTTAGCTCAGTCTAACATTGAAACATACATGCCTAGTATTAGCCTTCATCCTGACTTGTTCACACCATGAGTAAATTTTGGCTGAAGATTTATAGTTTTGGGGGGACAGTTAAGCATCCCTTGTTTAAGAATACTATCAGTTTTCTTTGTGTAGCTTGAATGTGTACTGGTACCTTTGAAGGAAGATATGTTCAACTAAACATTTTATAGATTATTCTAAAATGTTCATTAAAAACTTAAAAACTTACCGTTTTTAAAAAGTACTTAGATTCCAGTTAGTCAGCCTACAGTGTAATATTAGTTTTAGGTATACAATTTAGTGATTCAGCATTTAAAAAAACATCATTATTGAGAGCCCAATTAAGGGATATCCTTTTGTATAAATTGAAAGACTCATAACCAGACTGTATTCAAGAATACTTATTTTAAAGCTATATTTTATAATATTCATAACTGAATTTCTGCTGCCAAGTTTTTTTTTGGCAATTCTGTGACTTTTAGTATATTTATAGAGTTGTACAACCACCACTGCAATTTAGTTTTAAAACATTTTTATCGCCTTTAAAGAAACTGGGCCCATTTAGAGTCACTATAGCCACCTCTGTCCCTAGGTAACCAGTGGTCTACTTTCCATCTCTGTAAATTTGCTTTTTCTGGACATTCCATATAAATTGAATCATTCAGTATGTGGACTTTGTGTCTGGCTTCTTTCACTTAACATGACGTTTTTGAAGATCAGCTATGTCGTAGTATGTACATAGAACCAAGTTGTATTCCATTGTATATGTCAACCACATTTTATTTATGAGTTCACCAGTTGATACTCATTGCAGTTGTTCCAGTTTTTGACTTGTGAATAATGCTGCTAAGAACATTTGTACCCAACTCTTTATGGAACATATATTTTTATTTTTCTTGGGTAGATACCTATGAGTAGATTTGAAGGGTTGTATGTTAATTCTATGTATAATTTTTCAAGAAACTGCCGAACTATTAAAGAGGTTGTACCATTTTATATTCCTGACAGTAGTTTACTAGTGTTCTAATTTCTCTGCTTCTTGCCCAACTTACTTTTCTGTCTTTTTAATTATAGCCATCCTGGTGGATATGAAGGGTTATCTCAGTGTGATTTTGATTTGCATTTGCATTTCTGTAATGGCTGATGATGTTGAACATTTTTTCAGGTGCTTATTGACCATTTGTGTATCTTGTTTGGAGAAATACCTGTTCAGATTCTAACATACTTTTTAAAAATTGGGTTATTTTTAAATTTTTGAGTTGTAGAAGTTCTTTATATATTCTTACTCTGTGGGTTTTCTTTTCACTTTCTTAACTTTTGAAGTGCAAAAGTTTTACATTTTGAATAAGTCCAGTTTATTGGTTTTTTTTTTTTCTTGAATCATTTGTGCTTTTGGTGATATGTCGTTTTTAAAGATTTTATTTATTTATTTGAGAGAGAGACAGACAGTGACCGAGAGAGAGAGCATGCACGCGTGCACACACACACACACACACACACACACACACACGCACAAGTGGGGGCAGGGACAGAGAGACAAGCAGACTCCTTGCAGAGCAGGGAGCCTGACGTGGAGCTCTGTCCCAGGACCCTGGGATCATGACTAAGCAAAGGCAGATGCTTAATTGACTGAGCCACTCAGGCGCACCTTGGTGATGTGTCTTAAGAAATCATTGCCTATCCCAAGATCATGAAGAATTACTCTAGGTTTCTTGTAGGAGTTTTGTAGTTTTAGCTCTTATATTTAGGCCTATGATCAATTTTTTTTTAAGGTTTACTTATTTATTTGAGAGAGAGTATGTACATGCAATGGGAAGGTACAGAGGGAGAGGGAGAGAGAATCCCAAGCAGACTCCATGCTAAGTGTGGAGCCTGATGTAGGGCTCAATCCCACGACCTTGAGATAACTATCAGAGCAGAAACCAAGAGTCTGACATCCAACCAGCTGTGCTAGCCAGGCACCCCAGGCCTGTGATGAATTTTAAGTTAATTTTTTAGTGTGGTGGAATATGGTGTGAAGTAGGGAACTGAAGTAATTTTTTTGCATGTGGATATCCAAATGTTCCAGCACCATTTATTGAAAGACTGTCTCTTTCCCATTGAATTTTCTTGGCATCGTTGTCAAAAATTAGTTAACCATAATGTAAGGGTTTATTTCTGGACTCATTTCTATTTCATTCATCTGTATGTCTGTCCTTATCCCAGTATCTCATTGCCTTCGTTGGTGTTGCTTTGTTGTAAATACATTTTAAAATAAGGAAAGTCAGTTCTCCAACTTTGTTCTCCTTTTTTCAAGATTGTTCTAGCTATTTTGGGTCCCTTGCATTTCTGTATGAATTTTATGGTCAGCTTGTCAATTTCTGTAAGAAAGAAACCTGGGATTTTGATAAGATTGTGTTGAACCTATATACCAGTTTGGTTAGTATAACCATCTTAAACAGTATTAAGTTGTCAGATCCATGAACTTGGAATGTCTTTTATTTAGATCTATACTGTGGTCAGAATAAATGTTCGGCCAGTGTGACTCTTGACAATTTGAGGGTGATGCTTAATTATTTTGCTTTGATCAGCCACATCATACAGTACAGTGTCTTGGACTAGTTGTGGTTACTATAGGCTTAGTTAGGTTGTAGTTACATGTTATGTTAGTCTTGTGTATCAGAATCATATCAGAATAGCACTTTATGTAAATAATTTGATTTAGTAATTCATACTTAAAATATGGTGTCTTTAGTTTCACAATACACAAAATTTATCTTTTGAATAAATGTAATTCTTAAAGGAGCTATCATCCAGTTTTTTTTGTAGATCATTATTGGGTAGCATCAGTAGCGTAACTGTCATAGAAAACTAAAAGTGAAATCCCTGTGGTACTGTGTACCTTATTTTGTTCATCATGACATTTGCCTGTTATTAAAGTATAGAGAATTTTTAAGCTGGTTTATTTCATTCATTTCTCTTTTAGTAGTAGGGTGAAGCATTACATATTTTGATTTTATGTTTATGAGATTATTTATTTTTACAACTTTAACGTATTTTTCAGGGTCAGTTAAATGAAAGCATGGACCATGGGGGAGTTGGACCATATGAACTGTAAGTTTATATGAAAAGATTTCATTGTGCTGTCTTTCTTAACAAGTAGGTTTTATAAGTTCTAGTTTGTAGCCATCATGTGATTCCAGTAATCTGTTCTTAATTATCTAGTCATATATGTAAACTTGGTTTATTGAGTTTAGCTCTAATATAGTAATATATCCAGGTTTTGAGATCATATATAGATTTTAAGAGAAAGATATTCATCCTGATTAACACTAGACTGAATATGAGTCTGAATGGGTTAGAAATTTTTACCAGGTTAATAGAGTCAACTTTCTTACTTAAAAATAAAATTTTTAGAAATGCCTTCAAAGTCAAATGTTTTTTGTTTTGCTTGTAATATGTCATTCATACAGAGATCTCAAGCCATCTTGGGCAAACTCTGTTAAGTGAAAATGGTGATTAATCTGCTCTATACCCCAAACTTAAGTAAAAACCATGGGTTGGGGGTAGACCAAGATCTCTCATATAAAAAGCATTGAAGGGACAAATTGCCACTTAAATGCCACTTTTGGAGTCTTTAAAGCAAGCTAATAGTAGATGTGGAAAGGTGCATGGATACATTCTATTAGCAAGAATTTTTGTAGCATAAAGACTTGAACTAATTGGGTACTTTTACAAAGTTCCCAGATTTTCTGAAGTTGCTAAATGAAGTTGGATTATACCTAGTCTCATAGACATTTTGAATGAACTAAATATGAATAGCCCGAAGACTTTTTTCCTTTGTCAACTTGCTCAATAAACTTGTTCTAATTTATCTTAGTTTGGGGGTGCTTGATGTTTCAAAAAATAAGTAGCATATTCTGTAAATAAGCAGATAAGCAATTATCAAGTCATCCTAATCTTGACTTACCTTGTCATTGAATCATTAGTTTATTTAAAGTCCAGATAGTAAATTTGTTGTTATGTACCTTTTCCTTTTTACTTATTTGGATTAAATTATAGTAAACTGAAGGTAATTTAACTTTTTGAGAATTTACTTTTGGTTTTAATTTTCTTCTCAGTGGCATGGAACATTGTGAGAAATTTGAAATTTCGGAAACTAGTGTGAACAGAGGGCCAGAAAAAATCAGACCAGAATGTTTTGAGCTACTTCGGGTACTTGGTAAAGGGGGCTATGGAAAGGTAGGAAGTATTTTTGAAATAAGAGCTGTTGTCTGTCTTGGGTAGGTTAATTTTTGGTGGGGGATAGGTTAATTTTTTTTTTAATTTTTATTAACATATAATGTATTGTTTGCCCTAGGGGTACAGGTCTGTGAATCATCAGGCTTACACATTTCACAGCACTCACCATAGCACATACCCTCCCCAATGTCCATAACCCAGCCACCCTATCCCTACCCCCACCCCCAGCAACCCTCAGTTTGTTTCGTGAGATTAAGAATCTCTTATGGTTTGTCTCCCTCCCTGGTCCCATCTTGTTTCATTTTTTTGTTCCCTACCCCCATAACCCCCCGCCCTATATATACTTGTTTAGCAGTCCTCTTCAGTCTTTGCTAGCTATCAGCAAAGGATATGATCGCTTAACCTGATATTATTTGGAAGATGTACAGAAGTTCTCTTCCTCCCAACATAAATATAAAAGACTGACACATAATAGGCACTCAGTCAATATTTGTTGAATAAATAAATAGACAACGTTGCCAGTCAAAGTCTGTTATTAGAGGAATCCTTCCTTCTTTTGGTTAAAGGGTATCCTCTATAGGTATTCTCTTAAAAAACAAACCACTCCTTACTTTTAATGGGCATGGCATATTGCTGTTACTGAGATCTAAATCTGAATTGGTTTTCTTTGACTTGCAATATTTGGAGCTTTAGAGTTAGGGAAGCTGAAGAATATAAGAAGGGAGAAGAAAAAGGAGGATAACTGGTTAGCTTCATATTTTGCCCACGTCTTTCTAACTTATGACCTTATCTTTATGTGTGCTGCCCAGGAATATTTATACCTAGCTATTCTTTATCAAAAGGTAGAATTTGGATAACATTTTAGTAGTTAAGTTTAAGAACTATTTATGCTACTGTGTAGTGTTAATTTTTTCATTGCATGACATTTGTAGTTTCTTCTTAGGCTTAAGGACACATTCTGATTTGTTCTAATCATCTTGAATGTGGAACACATGCACTTTGAGTCTCACATTGTTTTAGCTATTGCATGATAAAGTTTTATATAGTTAGCCATTTTAAGGAATAGGTAAACAGTAATTCCTGTCAACTATTATTAAAGTTTTATGTGAAGCAAGAACAGTGGCATTCCTAGAAGAAATTTATAAAATATTTTATAATTTTTACTTTTGGTATTCTGCCTCTGGGAACCCTGATTATAGCTTTTTCCAAGCAAACTTGGATTTTGTGTATGAAGTTATATAGATTACTCATTATTAGATGATCACTGACCGACTTTGCCACCAGATGTCAGCAGACCAAATAGAACAGTCCCATGTTTCTCAGATTTCATTATTAAAGCTTTAATAGTCTGCTCTTTCAGCTTATCATTTTTGCACAGTCTTTGTGTTACTAGTTTTTGTAAGAATATAAACTGTTGTATCTGTTTCCTATAAATAGGAATTAAGGGAGTGTGACTAACCTAGTTTAGCTTTTAGTAACAAACACTTTTTTATTTTTTATCCAGGTTTTTCAAGTACGAAAAGTAACAGGAGCAAATACTGGGAAAATATTTGCCATGAAGGTGCTTAAAAAGGTGATTCCTTCCCTCCTTTTTGGTCCTTTTTCCTTTTTTTTTTTTTTTTTTTTTTTTAAGTAGCTCCATGCCCAGCATAGGGGGTGAACTCCATGACCCTCAGATCAAGAATTGCATGCTCCACTGAGCCAGCCAGGCATCTCTCCCCAACTTTATTGTTAACTGCTATAAAATCCACATTTTGGCCTAAAATTCTCAGTCAAGAAAATCTATTTCTAACACAATACTACAAGTCCTCTTAGAATGTGAGGTATGTTTCATTATTGGTATTCATGTTTTCTGCTTAGTGAACATGGAGAGGAGAGCTCTTTTAATTTTCCTCTGAGGTAACTCTTTTAGCTCTTTGTTCTGGTCTCCATTTCTAAGTAATAAGCATGTTCTGCTGTCACTTAATATAGCAGTTTTGAAATATGTATTGATTTCCACTCTATTCTCTTTTACTTCTTCCTCCCTTCTCCCCATATTCTGATTTTGCTTCATTTCCTTTGAGTCTGCTGTTGTCTTCTCATGCCTTCCAACAACTCTGTTTAGGTCAATGTTCTATGGTCCCACTTACTAGGTTGTCTATCAGTTCCATTTATTTTCCTGTAGATATCCCATCAAAACCTTCTGTCCTCCATTCCTATCTGTATTGGTAGCTCTGGAGGCATAGCTGCCATTACTGGACTTTGGTCACAATCCTTGGAATCCCCTTGGCTCCATCAGTGTTGGATTCTTTGTGTCCTGGATCCCATATCTTCCTTTATCGTAGTTTATTCCATTGTTCCCTCTTGTGGTGACCATCTACCAGTGGCTTCCTGAGCCAAAGGCAGACACTTAACTGTCTGAGCTCCCCAGGCACTCCCAATTCCCATTTCTTTAGAGATCTATTTTTCTTATTTATTTATTTATTTGTATATTTAACGTCTTTTAAAAAAAAGATTTTATTTATTTATTTGTCAGGGCTGGGGAAGAGAGCACAAGCAGGGGGAGGGGCAGGCAGAGGGAAAAGCAGGTTCCCCGCTGAGCAAGGAGCCAGATGTGGGACTCAGTTCCAGGACCCTGGGATCATGACCTGAGCCAAAGGCAGGCACTTAATGCACTGAGCCACACAGGTGTCCCTAGAGATCTATTTTTCTTTTAAAATATCTAAAATTTTCTTTAGTTTCTGTTCTAAATTTTTTACAGTGGTGTATTTATCTTCCTTTGATTCTTATTATTTTCTTTATTTTTACTCTTTGAATCTTGAGAGTTCCAGTCCTTTAATCTGTGGGAGGTTTTCTTTTTTTTTTTTTTTTTTTTTTTTTTTTAAAGATTTTTTTTATTTATTCGACAGAGAGATCACAAGTAGGGAGAGAGGCAGGCAGAGAGAGAGGAGGAAGCAGGCTCTCCGCCGAGCAGAGAGCCCGATGCGGGGCTCGATCCCAGGACCCTGAGATCATGACCCGAGCCGAAGGCAGCGGCTTAACCCACTGAGCCACCCAGGCGCCCCTGTGGGAGGTTTTCTTAAATGATCTCTGATAATTTCCCCCTCTACTATTTTCTCTTCTTGGATTTATAGTTAGTTGGATATTGGACCTCCTGGACTGATCATCTATTTTTCTTATCTTTTTCATTTGTCTGCTTCTTTGTCTTTTTGTTTACTTTCTGAGATTTTTCTAGAAATTTGTTTTCTAATCCTTTTACTGATTTTTTTAAGCTATAATATTTATGGTTCCTCGGAGCTTTGCCATTTTTTCTTTTTCTTTTATTTATTTATTTTTTAAAAAAGATTTTCTATTTATTTGAGATGGAGCACAAGTGGGGCAGTGTATCAGAGGGAGAGGGAGAAGCAGACTCTTAGCCGAGCAGGGAGCCTGACATGGGGCTTAGTCCCAGGACCCTGAGGTCATAACCCAAGCTGAAGGTAGACACTTAACTGACTTTTTCTTTTTATAGCAACTGTTTTATGAGTACATTATCTTATCTTATTCCTCTGAGGGTATTAATGATAATTCTTTGAAATGTCCTTTTTTTCTAGGCATTAGATCTCTTTTCTAAGTTCCTGTTTTCTTTAAGTATGATTTAGTCTCTTTCTTCCATGTCAGAGGTCTTCTTTAGATGCCTGGTGTCCTTTACTGATTGTTCATATTTAAGAGTAAAACTCTGAAAAGCTGATCAGAAGTTCCATCTGTGTAGGAAGGCATGTGGTTAGCTGGCAATTGACTGAGAACCTCCAAATATCATTTTCTGTAGTCAGTTGGTGCTGACAAAGATCCTCTATTCTTTTGCATAGAAAAAGCATCCTGGAGCTGGATGGGAGAGAAGAGATGAAGATCTTAACCTTCCAATACGCAGACCTTCACTGAAGTCAAGTTTTTACTTTAGCACTTCACTCTTTATCTGATATTTCACTCTTTTTTTTTTTTTCTTGGAGAGTACACCTTTCCAAGTGCTAGTAATCTACCTATTTTTAGTCCTCTACCTTCTGCCTTCTGCAGTCCCTAATGACTTTTTCCTTTCTTGCTTTTTATTTTTGTCTCCAATTTTTGAACCTACTAGGGTTCTATAGATGGAATCAACTTCTTTTGAGTTCTCTGTGCAGGCATTTAGGTTTGATCATATTCTACTCCACTGAGTCATGTACCATTGCTTTATCCCACTCTGTTTTCTTTACCTCCTGATGTGTGGAGTTAAATGCATTTCCTAGTTTTATTGAAAATGGGTTATGTGTGTTTGGTTTCTTGTTCTTTTTGTTTGGGATTAATTTCTGGAAAGATCACACTGTCTTAAAACAAGTCTTAGTAGAAAACTGTATTAAAAGACAATCAAAACGACTTTTAACAAAAATTACAAGGTTTGTAATACTTCAGTCTTTATCTTCCTTATTTTTACTTAAGCATTATACATGACTTATTAATTTAAAAGCTGAGGAACAAATAGGACCACAACTTTATTGGTGATTGTCTTTTTTTTTTTAATTTGTTTGTTTGTTTATTTAAGTAATCTCTACACCCAACGTGGGGCTTGAACTCATGACCCAAAATTAAGAGTCACATGCTGTTCTGACTGAGCCAGCTGAAATCACCCCTGGTGATTGTTTTAAAAGAAGCAGTTTAGATATTCTGAACTTTACTTTCTGTATTAATAAGTCAGTACTAATCTGCTATCTGGCTTTCCCATTGGAATCATTTGAGATTAATGATGGAGATAATAAAATAATGCTTGTCCTAGAAATGTTGAAAGAAGTACTGGTCAAGATTCTTAGGTTAATTTATTCCTTTTGATATATTTTATAATCAAGGCTGACCATAATTAGTCACAATTCTGTCTTGAGTCAAATATGTTTCTGGCATGGGCACCTTAAATGAAAAGAAGAGGGTGTTGTTTTTCCACTGATGGTGGATAGGCACAGTGTACTGGGAAATCCATAGACTTAATTATTGCTAAATGTTAGACGTCCTTTTTGGCCCCAGGTATCTAAGACCTAACTTGCTTGCCTCTTCATGTGCTTAGTTACCACTCCCTCCCAATCTCAGGGTTTTTCTTTCCCCAAGCGTGGCTAGAGAGTCAGATGCTGTTTAATGTTTTCCTTGCTGTCCCTGAAAACAAGCTCACAGTATAAATAATGAAAGTGAAGAGGTGCTAGGGTTAAGTCCAGAATTTTAATTCCTAACTAGATGACGGTATGCTGCCTTCAAGCTTCTTTATTCTGATTTTATTATTATTAACCCTCTTGAACTCGGTATGTGGTAAGAACATGTCTTTTTCCAGCCTTGAAGATGAAATCAGAGTAGAACCACATGTCTCTTTTTTTTTTTAAATTTTATTTATTTATTTGACAGAGATCACAAGTAGGCAGAGAGGCAGGCAGAGAGAGAGGAGGAAGCAGGCTTCCCGCTGAGCAGAGAGCCCGATGTGGGGCTCGATCCCAGGACCCTGGGATCATGACCTGAGCCGAAGGCAGAGGCTTTAACTCACTGAGCCACCCAGGCTCCCCGCACATGTCTCTTTATCTTAAATGGTGTTTACATCTGGACAGTTTGTCTGAATTTTTCAGTTCTTCTGGGATTTTTTTTTTTACAAGAATGGTACTACTTGGGTATTTTCTCAGGGTGGAATGTTGAGGAAAAGACTCTCTTTCCTACCAGTTGCAACCAAGATGGACCCTGGAAGCAAAGTACTGTTGCCCATGGCATTAGTTTAGCCCACACTGTAAATTTTAGACTGTTTGGCTAAAGGCTTGTGGTTAACAGATTGGTCATACTTGTTTCATTCCTTCTTTTATTGAATCAGTTAAGAACTGGTAATGTGCCAGGCATTATGCTAGATACTAAGATTTAGCATTTGAGGCAAATGTGGTCTCTCCCTCTCACTCTGCTTACCATATAATTCAAGGGAAGAATTGTTAAGCTTATTCTTACAATTTTTTTTTCTATCTTGTGGTCAAAATCCTTTCTACTTTGAGGTTGAAACCTCCCTCAGTATTTATCATTCTTTTTTCTCACTTCTAAACCTTGTCATCCTGTATATCTTTGCTGTCCTTATATTAAATAAGTTATCAGTAGCCCAGCCTTCTAATTCCCTGATCTCAACTCTATCAGCTTTCACCTCCATTCCACTTTACCAGCCCCCATGGCTGTATTCTCCACCTCTGAAGTGTTCGACTATAATAGAACAATAACTTTCTCACTTCTTTATTCTCACAATGCTTGGTCTTTGGCTCTCAACCTTTTAGTTCTTTGACCGTTTTGGGGTTTTTTTTTTGCTAAAGTTCTTAACCCCCTTCTTTTTTTTTTTTTTTTTAAAGATTTTATTTATTTATTTGACAGAGAGATCACAAGCAGGCAGAGAGGCAGGCAGAGAGAGAGGAGGAAGCAGGCTCCCTGCCGAGCAGAGAGCCCGATGCGGGGCTCGATCCCAGGACTCCGAGATCACGACCCGAGCCAAAGGCAGCGGCTCAACCCACTGAGCCACCCAGGCGCCCCTCTTAACCCCCTTCTTATTTCACTTTATTCTGAATCTGGTGTAATCAGCATGATCTGCCGTTTTAGTTCTTGCTAGCCCCATTGACCTTATGTTTAGGAAAGTCCTACTCCTAATAGTTCAGTTGTTAATATTCCTTTATTCTTTTATCTCAGCTACTGAGCATTGTTGGCAGAAATCACATAATATTATAGATTGCTGCTAGGACAAATTCATAGTACCCAAATCATTTGGACCCTAAGTATTCATCAGCTTTTTCTCTCTCTCTCTCTCTCTTTTTTAAGATTTTATTTATTTATTTGACAGAGAGAGATAAAGAGGGCACAAGCAGGGAGAGTGTTAGGCAGAGGGAGACGGAGAGGCAGGCTCCCTGCTCGATGTGGGGCTCGATCCCAGGACCCTGGAATCATGACCTGAGCCAAACGCAGACACTTAACTGACTGAGCCACCCAGGTGCCCCACCAACTTTTTTTCTCCATGTCCCCAGACAACTTTCATTTTCTATAACTGCTATCAGTCCCTCTTAACTCTTTAGTACACTGCCTCTCCCTATTTGAGGCTGTCACATGTGATTTCCTTCCACTTCCTGTTCTAATCCCTACCCCTCATACCATATTAATCTGCATTTTTACTTGTCTTTACTTCCTTCTCTCCAGTGTTTAGTAGGAGATGTATTCCTCCTCCTTTCCAAGGTTAAGCCCTCTGCTTATGTTTTGGATCCCATCCCTTTCTGCCTGTTAGGGCTCTTTGTCACTTCTTTCTGTTTTTCCATCCTCTGTCCTGACTTCTTTTTTTGTTTACGTATATTCATGCTTTTGCCATATTTAGTAAAACAGATCCTTCTTTCATACAAAGTCTTTCGATAGTTTCTACCCTCTTTGCCTTTTTAGCTGAGTTTCTTGAGAAGTCATGTTTTATTATTTTTTTCATTCACTCTATTTTGACTTAATGACTCTACCATTTCAATGAAACTCTTGTCACCACCAATCTCCTAATGGCTGAATTCAGTGGTCTTTACTTAATTCATCCTTAATTTACCTCTCTTACATTGAAGCTAAGAAAACTCTGTTTTGTTTACTTACGTGATTCTATTTACTAATTTTTTTAAATTAAAGATTTATTTATTTATAAGAAATTTATAAATAAATTTATTTTTACTTGTGATCTGACAGACAGATCACAAGTAGGCACAGAGACAGGCAGAGAGATAGGTGGAAGCAGGCTCCCCACTGAGCAGAAAGCACGATGTGCGGCTCGATTCCAGGACCCTGAGATGATGACCCGAGCCAAAGGCAGAGGCTTTAACCCACTGAGCCACCCAGGCGCCCCTATTTAGTTGCATTTATGTATTTCTGTTGTGTTCACAGTTTTATTTCCCTCACCCATCCTTGTTGATTTATTTTTGGAATATATAAAACATTAGCATGGTTCAGAATTCAAAAACCCCCATTTTATAATCACAATAATATTTGATTTAGGTAACAGAAAAAAAAAACTTTAGGTAAGCTAAAAGCGTTGAGGCTTTACTCAGAAGGTGTTCTCAGAAGTCTAGTCCTATTACTTTTTTTTTACCTTTCCACTGTCATAAGCTTTTGGTTTATCTTAGTTATCTTATTGAAGATATAAGGAGATACACATACATATTCTTATCTTCCCTTTCTGACACAAAAGGTGGTATACTATAATACTGTTATGCCATGTATGCTCTTTTGTACCTTGGTTTCACAGAGAAATTCCCCATTCTTTTTAAAGCTTTTTTTACACATTAGGTAGATAGTCCATAGGTTTTTATCTAGTATTCTATACATGGCCATTTAAGTTGTTTAATTGCACTTTTACGAATAATATTGCAACTACTAATCTTGTGTATATGCTTTTTCATGTTACTGGAGATGTACCAGAACTTAGTCCTAGAATTTAGACCTAACATATCCAAAATAATGCATCATTTTCCCAAAACTCTTTTGATTTTCATTTCCTGTTATTGAATGATAACCATTGTCCTTTTAATTATGCAGAAACCATGGCATCATCATTTCTTCTCAACCTAGTCAGCAAGTGCTGATACCTTTTTCTTTTTTCCCACCTTCCTTTTCTCTTTCTTTCTTTTTAAGAGAGGTGGGGTGGGGAGGGGTAGAGGGAGAGAATCTTAAGTAGGCTCCATGACCAACGTGGAGCCCAATGTAGGGCTCAGTCTAACCACCCCGAGATCATGACCAGAGCCGCCAAAATCAAGAATTGGACGTTTAACCAACTGAACCACCCAGGTGCCCCCCACCTTCATTTTTTTAGGTACAGGTCTTACTTAATTTAGTTTACTGTATTAGCCTCCCAGCTGGTCTCATTTCTTCCCTAAAACTCCAAACTACTACTAAAACTGTCTTAAAGCCAAAGATTACTCATTTTCAGAACCTCAACATTTTTCCTCTGCCTCTGAGATAAGATTCAAGCGCTTTTGCCTAGGTACCTAGGCCTTCCATTTCCTGGTCTCCACCTACAACACCAGCCTAATGTCTAGTCACTTCTAACCGTACTGAACTACTTATAGATTACCTAGACATGTCCTGTCAAGCCTGTTTTGCACTGGAAATGCTTTTTTTATCCTCTGTGTTTCATTTTAATAATTTTTCATCATACAGTTTAGGTATTGCTACCTCCCAGAACACTTCTTGCCATGTCAGCTGTAGTTCCTCTATTCTCCCATAGCACCTTGGGTTTACCTGCATTGACTTCTCTCTTTTCCCTGAGACTTTGGACTCCTAATAGCTGGAGACTTCTGTTCGTTCTTCTTTCTTATTACAGAGCCTGGAGCATAGTAGACATAGAATAATTAGTGAACATATGAATAAACTTCATCTGTTTACATTTTTTAAAAAGGTATCTTTAGGTTGTTATTTACATGTTTGGTGCAAAAAATCCAAACAGTGCAGATATATATAAGAAGTGAATGTCTTCCATTATTCCTATCTCAGTCTCTGGTGGGAACTATAATTAAATTAATTATATTAAATATTAAACTATTGGCAAGAAGAGCACAAAATAGAATTTCCAGTTACTATAGAATAAAAATGTCTACTGTTTTGTTCTTATAGATCATCTCTTTTCCTTTAGGCAATGATAGTAAGAAATGCTAAAGATACAGCTCATACAAAAGCAGAACGGAATATTCTGGAGGAAGTAAAGCATCCCTTCATTGTGGATTTAATTTATGCCTTTCAGACTGGTGGAAAACTCTACCTCATCCTTGAGTATCTCAGCGGTCAGTACACTCAGTTTGGTGTAATTATTTGCATTTGCTCCAGAAACTGGGTTAAACATTATTTTCCAATGGAAAAATGCTTTTTCCCCAGTGTGATTAAATAGTTCTTAAAATTGACAAATACATTGACATAAGGAATTTAGATGTGACTATGTGTTTCTTTTTGCAGACAAATATGAAGAACTTTAAAGGTTAGGTTTTTTTCCCCATCTGTAAAATTTTATCTTAATCCTAATCCCTTTGTCCTCATACTTAAAATAACAAACACTTAATTGATACAGAGCCATCACATTGACTATGCTGGGGTAAGATACTATAATTCCAATGAACTATCAAAGCATTTCTAAACTCAAATGGAAAACTTACTGAGAGTATTTAAGATATTGAGTATTTTCAAAATTGCATCTCTAAACAGAGTTTTTTGGTTAGATGTAGCTTTTTTGTTAGACTATGCAGTTTACATAGGAAGACATCCACAATTTCCAGGGATTACTACCTCCTCAAACCTTGTTGCTTATCATTTCTAAATCACAGATATCTATTTCCAGCCAAGATATCTGAGTTTTCTGAAAAAGAGGTTCCACAGTGGCCTGTAACACGGAACAGAAAGATGCAGAATTTAGCAACTTTTTTGTGACTGTTGTTGCTGTTTTTTGAGTAACTTTATTTTGACAATTTCAGATTTATACAGAAAAGTTGCATAAATAGTACAAAGACTTCCCACATATCCTTCACCTAGATTCCCCAAGTGTTTTCATTTTACAGTTGTTTTGTTTCATCCTTCTTTTCTCTCCTTCTGTATATGTATACATATATATGTGTGTGTATATATATATGTGTGTGTGTGTATGTATATATATATACATGTATATGTATAAACACACTTTTTTTTTCTGGATTGCTTAAGCGAGTGTTTCAGACATGATTTCCCATTACCCCTAAATGCTCCAGTTTATATTTTCTAAAATTAATGACAGTATCTTAACTCTACTAAAGTTATCAAAACTGGAAATTAACATTGATACAGTAATATCTCTCAGTTCCCTTTAACCTAAACAGTTCCTCAGTCTTTATCTTTTGTGACCTTAACATTTTTGAAGAATATAGGCCAGTTATTTTGTAGAATGCACCAATTTGGGCTTATCTGATGTATCCTCAAGATTAGATTCAGGTTATGCATTTGGGGAGGACCATCGAAGTGACATTGTGTCTTCTGTCAGATCAGGAGGTACATGATGTTATATCTTTGTCCCATTGCTGTTGATGTTCACTTTGATCACATTTATAAGGTGGTGTTGGCCAGTTTTTCCCCTGGTGAAGTTTACCCTTTGTAATGAATAAGTATCTTGAGATACTTTGGGTTTATCGAAATATCTTGTCTCTCATCAAGCTTTCACATACAGTTTTAGCATTCATTGATTCTTGCTTGAAACAATTAACTGTAATGTTTGCCAAGTGATTTTTCTTATTCCATCATGCCTCATTCATTTATTTGGCATTCTGCTGTAACAAAGAGCTTTTCCTTCTCTCCCATTTTAAAACCTAATTTATTGATCTCTTCATTGATTTATATTATTGCTGGCTCATGTATTCTAAGATTATTCAATGGGATATAAGTCATTATTATCTTGATATTCAAAACAGTGCCATGCTTTTAATAAAGCTGCTGCTAGATTCATCTAGATTAAGAGATCTGAAAATACGGAATAAGGGCATTCACTAATTGTAAGGGTGGCTTAATTATATACTAACATTTTTCTGCTTAGGATAAAATGTGAGAGAAGTTTTAACCAAGATTACTTTTTTAACCTCAAGTCTGGAATCTTTTAACTATTTTGACGTTTAAAGATGTAAAACCTAGAATTCCAAAACATAGTTTTCACATAAGAATAAGAACACTGCAAAAATAGAATCCTGAAAACTTAGTTTTAAACCTATAGTTTTTAGGATCTGTTTTTTAGTTTTAAGGAACTGATATCTTTTAACTGTAGTTAAAAGAGAAAGCACAACCTTCTCATTAGAAATGGGTTGGAAATGAAGATTGTTTTATTTCTAAGGCCTTTTCCTTTTCTTCACAGGAGGAGAATTATTTATGCAGTTAGAAAGAGAGGGAATATTTATGGAAGACACAGCCTGGTAAGTGAAATTTTTGCAGTTGCATGGATTCAGGTAATGATTCATATAATTAAAAGCAAAGCCCTTTTCCCACTGTGGATAGCCAAATGATTCAGTAAATTGTTCTGGAGCCAGTCAGTCACTCAGGACTTCAAGGGGGAGAAGTATCTTTGGGATGGGGCAGCTTTTGGAGGTCACATCATTCCTTTGCCCCCAGGCCTTGGGTGGAACGCTCTTCACGCCAGTTCCTAACAGAACCATTCTCACTGGGGCTTTCTTTCCTTGAATTGGTAAGCTGCCTGCCTTGGCTGTGGGTGAGTGTGGTTTTCCGGTGAAACTTTATGTCTGGAACAATGGAAAGTATCAGAAATCATCTCCTCTTTTTTTTTAGACTTTCCAGTTCCCAAGGTGCAGTCTTAGGGAGGTGATAAGCCGGCACACATCATCTGTGGATTGATTCTATGGCCAGGATGGGATCTACCCTTATATTTCTTAAGATGGCATCTGCTTCAAATTAAAAATATACACATCCTTTTGTGAGATGACAGTATTGGGTAACAATCAGTTTATCCTACACATTAATTGAATAGAAAACACTTAAATGTTTTTTTCTACCTTAATTACCAAACTGCATTCCATTGTTTAATTTCAGGCTTTTTCTAACACAGAAGCTGCATTTAAGAGCCTTAGGGATGAAGTACCCTTTTTTGGAGGAGGCTCTCTGAGCCGTGTTGGAGGCTGTATTTGTGGTCCTGCTGGCTGTGAAACTGCCTCAGTCCTCTAGGACACACCCTCTCCATCCTGGAGTAATCTGCAGGATTGCAACATTGTTATGCAGCCAGTATTGCAGTGCCTTGTGCTTTTCGAATCCAGACAGGGTTGACTCAGCCCTTTATTCTTTTGAGGTAGATAAATTTGAGTGTCACACAGTTTATAGTTGTGGGCTGGCTGGCAGGAGGGAGGGCAGATACTGTGGGCATGAACTGTATATAAATATGCAGCTGTATTAAGGGATGAGTGGGCTTCTAAGGGTCAGATTATTTATAAGGTATCTTTCGAAACTAAGACTTGATCTCTGAGAATAACAAAGTTCCTGTGTCCTATGGGATTTTAAAATTGGGGGTGGGTGGGAGAAATTTGCTTTGATCTGAATGACTATTGTCCTAATTCCTATTAGGAACAGAACAAAAACCAGTGACAGTTTGGCATATTCTGGACTTTTTTGCAATTAGTAGTATGTTCTAAAGAAATAAAACATTTTATAGTTTCACTAAATAAGTGAAACATAAATGTCACCATGCCTTTTGGCAGCATCCTATGTCATCTCTTTCCCCCATCCCCGCCCCCATCCCCACTAATTTGGTCTTTGGTGCATGTCTATTTCTTTCAAGGAATTTTGCTCCATACATAAACTGCTTTGAGTATATTACTCTTTTTAATTTTATTAAATCACTTTTGTTTCCAGCTTTTACTTGGCAGAAATCTCCATGGCTTTGGGGCATTTACATCAAAAGGGGATCATCTACAGAGACCTGAAGCCGGAGAATATCATGCTTAATCACCAAGGTGGAGATATACCGTAAACAATTCTATAGTAAATAATCATCTTAAAATCCTCCCACCCAGGTCATGGTCATTTTCAAAGCCCCATAGTCATGTAACTTCTGTTATACACTCCTCCCTCAGAATTTATGGCATCATAATGCTTGCTGAGATTTAAGTATTTAGATAATTGTGATTGATGAGATTAGAGGAAGTTAGGAATAACTGACCACTTAACTGTGTTTTCGGGTTTAATCCTTGCTCTTTATAGCTTATCATTCTTTTGAAATCTTTACATAACATGTGGTGATCCAAAAGCCAGTCCCAACTTTAGTTTTGGTTTGTCCCTTAAATTGGAAAGTAGATCTTAACCCTATAGATTGAGTTTTCCGTAATGAAAAAAATGCATAAATATTAGAAGCAGTACTTTTTATGATAAATTTTATTAATGCTGTAAAAAAGGATTAGAATTGAACCACAATATTTGATGTAGCCTTGGAAAGAAAATGTTGAGTAGGCATCAGTTTATTCTTGGTGTTCATAACAACAAACATAAAAATCAAAGGCCCATACTCTGTGCAGCTGTATGTAGAGCAGACTGAGTCTTGATTACAACTGCATGCTGCTAGAGGCAGTTTGATTTATGCACGAGTAATCTGGGCTCGGTAGACTTCTCAGGTCACTCATACCCCAGAGGAGCAACCAGCCAGCCAGGCTGTCGGGGTGCTGTCAGGGTGCCTTCGGTGTCTACAAAATGATACATGAGGTAGTTAAGGGTTTTAAATTCTTGGACAGGAAATGGTGTGGACAACTGATGCTAATATGAATATGTTTCAAATTGTGCTTTTTTTCTCGGTTTCCCTTTTTTTTTTTTTTTAGGAGAAATGCTACTTAACCAAGTACATCATGGGAATCTATGTATCTCTGTCCCTCCCAGTTCCACTCCCATCCCCCCACACTTGGATTCTGACTCTGAATTCTAAGGCAAAGGATAGAATAGGGAAGTGACTAGTTAACTTCTTTGATCCATAATGCTGTGTCAGGTGGTTCTGTGAAAATAAAGGTCATATTTTTTTGTATGTCAGAGTATCAGTAAGCCATTACCTTTTCTTTTCTCTGAAATAAACCTGGAATAGTAGGGTTCCTGGGGTGGTTGAACCACTCTATATCTAATAACATTTCAGTAAAGCTAAGCTTGAACTGCAATGTTCTTTGTGTAAGGTGGTGAGTTTTTTACTTTTTGGATTAGAGATGACAGTCCCTTGCCATAGCAATTTCATTTCTTTTTCTGAATTGGCAGTATTGGCAGAATAAGCCAACTTGTTAGAGTGATTTCCTGAGACCATTTAAAAAACTGTCCAGTCACAGTTCACTGTGGTAAAAAGTTATATATTTGAAGTATAGTGTCAGACTTTTAAATGATGCAACATATTTTTATAAGAGTTTGTGTACTTAAACCAGACTTTTTTTTTAAAGATTTTATTTATTTATTTGATAGACAGAGATCACAAGTAGGCAGAGAGGTGGGCAGAGAGAGAGAGGAGGAAGCAGGCTCCCCGCTGAGCAGAGAGCCTGATGCTGGGGTCCATCCCAGGACGCCGGGATCATGACCTGAGCTGAAGGCAGAGGCTTTAACCCACTGAGCCATCCAGGCGCCCCTTAAACCAGACTTTAGAGAATTTTTCTTGAAGGCTTGCTTTCTCAGGATGGTAGAGGATTCTAGGTATAGGTAAAGATAGAGCTTTGGAAAAACTGTTTTACTTTTTTCTCTATTTTCCCTTTATATTATATCATTGGCCAAAAATGACTGTGTTAGCTTTAAAAAGTTAGCATCCCATATTATGGATGGCACCTTGCTAGTTGTTTGTATCTTCAACAAATATTTAAGGCAGAAAATGTTAAATGGAAGAATAGATTATTGTCTTGTATGATACATTCAAACACTGCACATGCTTAGAATTCTCAGAATAACCATGCTGTGATCTTTCATTGTAGGTCATGTGAAACTAACAGACTTTGGACTATGCAAAGAATCTATTCACGATGGAACAGTCACACACACATTTTGTGGAACAATAGAATACATGTGAGCTGCATGTTGCAAGAAATACAACTGGTTTGAGGGGTGATAGCTAACTTTTACCTGGTTTATGTAGGACCATTGGCTCCGTATATTGTTTTTAAACTTCTAATTCAAATGATATGCAAATGGGTGAATTTTTTAGGCGTATTATTTTTCTCATTGTAGGGCCCCTGAAATCTTGATGAGAAGTGGCCACAATCGTGCTGTGGATTGGTGGAGTTTGGGAGCATTAATGTATGACATGCTGACTGGAGCAGTAGGTGCACAGTTAAAAGCTGCATGTATTATGGTCTGTGCTGAGTAGTTATTAAATCATTATGGCAAGAGACCTTTCCTGTGCTTTTTAAAAATGTTACTGATGGAGTTATTAAAAAAAAAAATTAACACTAATATGCTTTGTTGGTAGTAGTATGGGCCCTGTACTTTTAAAAACATTTTTGTTTAAATGATCTGTCATGTCAGTCCTGTGAAATAGGTATAAAATAGATACTGCCCTTATTTTATAAAAAGAGAAAGTAAAGCATAAAATCACAGGGCTCACCTATTACCACACAGAGGTAAAGTGGAAACCCAGTTTCTTCTGAGATGTTACTATTTCTTCTGTCACATTGCTTAAAAACTATAGATCTTTAGCAGTCAGCCCATATCACAGCATACATATCTGATCTTTATGCATAACTGACTAATTCAGGAAATGGATGATTTTATTTAATATGCTAATTTTTCTCACTCTTTTCTACTCATAGCCCCCATTCACTGGGGAGAACAGAAAGAAAACAATTGACAAAATCCTCAAATGTAAACTCAATTTGCCTCCCTACCTCACACAAGAAGCCAGAGATCTGCTTAAAAAGGTAGGACATGAGGCGCGCTTGGGTGGCTCAGTCAGTTAAGTGTCTGCCTTTGGCTTGGGTCATGATCTTGGGGTCCTGGGATCAAGCACAGTGTCAGGCTCCCTGCTCAGCAGGAGTCTGCTTCTCCCTCTCCCTCCCTGCACTCAGTCTCTCTCAAATAAATAAATAAATAAGTCTTTTTTTTTTTTTTTAAAAAGGTAGGACATGAAATGATAACCCTCAACTACTGGAATTTAATAGATTTGAACATACATTTTATTTTATTTTATTTTTTAAGATTTATTTATTTATTTGACAGATAGATCACAAGTAGGTAGAGAGGCAGTCAGAGAGGGAGGGGGAAGCAAGCTCCCTGCTGAACAGAGAGCCCGATGTGGGGCTCGATCCCAGAACCCTGGGATCATGACCTGACCCGAAGGCAGAGGTTTAACCCACTGAGCCACCCAGGCACCCCTGAACATACATTTTAAATAAAGAATCATATATATTAATCAAAACACCTACAGTTTTTGCAGGTAAAGTACACATTTTTTAAAGATTTTCTTTCCTTGGGGTGCCTGGGTGGCTCAGCTCAGGTCATGGTCCCAGGTCCTGGAATTGAGCCCTGTATTGGGCTCCCTGCTCAGCAAGGAGTCTGCTTCTCCCTCTCCCTCTGCCCCTCCCTTACACTCTCCCCGCTGCCTGCCGCTTGTGTGTGCTTTCTCTCTCTGTTCTAGCTCCTTAAATAAATAAATAATTTTTTTAAAAATATTTTTTCCTTTTTATTCCCAAGCAATATTTAGTTATAATAAAGAAAGCCAATTTTCTCAAAATAGAGAAGAAATATAGACAAGCAAATTCTCTAAATAAAAAATAATCAATTTGACTAAGGTTTATCAATGTTTTGTTTTGTTTTCCCTCTTTAAAGCTGCTGAAAAGAAATGCTGCTTCTCGACTTGGAGCCGGTCCTGGGGATGCTGGAGAAGTTCAAGTAGGGATTGGCCTTTTTGGTGGTTTGAGGGGAAGATAGTGCTAATTTTATTTATTTGTGAGGGTTGTGTGTAGTTGTTTAAAGTATAGCTTATTTTGGGGTGCACCTGGGTGGCTCAGTTGATTAAGCATCCAACTCTTGGTTTTGGCTCAGGTCATGATTTCAGGGTCTTGGGATCAAACCCTATTTTGGGCTCCAAGCTCAGCGTGGAGTCTGCTTGAGAGATTCTCTCTCTTTCTCTCTCTACCCCCCTCTGCCCCTCCCCGCACTTGTGTGCATGTTTTCTCTCTCTCAAATAAATAAATAAAATCTAAAAAATAAGTATAGCTTATTTTGTGATTTGTAACTTCAAACAGACAGTTAATTTGTCAGTCCAGTGAAGTCTATTCAACTTGACTTTTCTTCCTGTTCTTTTTTTCTAGGCTCATCCATTCTTCAGGCATATTAACTGGGAAGAATTGCTGGCTCGGAAGGTGGAGCCCCCCTTTAAACCTCTGTTGGTATGTATACATGAAAGCATATACTTTGAAGGACCTGGTATTTCTTTAGAATAAAATCCCAGGGGCGCCTGAGTGGCTCAGTCGTTAAGCTGTCTGCCTTTGGCTCAGGTCATGATTCTGGGGTCCTGGGATCAGGCCCTGCATCCGGCTCCCAGCTCCATGGGAAGCCTGCTTCTCCCTCTCCCACACCCCCTACTTGTGTTCCCTCGCTGTCTCTTTGTCTGTCAAATAAATTAAAAAATCTTAAAAAAAAAAGATGGGGCGCCTGGGTGGCTCAGTGGGTTAAAGCCTCTGCCTTCGGCTCAGATCATGATCCCGGGGACCTGGGATCGAGCCCTGTGTCAGGCTCTCTGCTCAGCAGGGAGCCTGCTTCCTCCTCTCTCTCTGCCTGCCTCTCTGCCTACTTGTGATCTGTCAAATAAATAAAATCTTAGGGAAAAAAAAAAAAGAATAAAATCTTAGAGCATTCAAAAACATTATGTTTATATTAACCATTCAGAAAACTTTGGTTTATGTTCTTCTCAGACTCTATTCTGTATAGTCTTTTCAAGGACTATTGCCATCAGCAATTGATGAGTATATTAACTATTTTTTAGTTGGTTGCCTAAGACAACTAAATATTTAAAGTAGTTAGAACTTTTTTGCTTTGTTTCCTTGATTCAACCATATTTTATTTTTATACTTTTATAAACTGTTTACTCTTTTTTTTTTTAAGTTTTTTTTTTTTTAAGTAATCTCTACATCCCACATGGGGCTCTAACTCATGACCCCGAGATCAAGATGTTTGGGGTACCTGGGTGGCTCAGTAAGCATATGCCTTCAGCGCAGGTCATGATCCCATGGTCCTGGGATTAAGCCCTGAATCAGGCTCCCTACTCAATGGGGAGCCTGCTTCTACCTCTGCCCCCTGCTCATGCTCTCTTTCTTTCTCTCACAAGTAAATACATAAAATCTTAAGAAAAAAAAAAAAATCACATGTTCTGACTGAGCCAGCCAGTTGCCCCTATTCTCTTTTTCTTTCTTTCTTTTTTTTTTTTTTTAAGATTTTATTTATTTATTTAACAGAGAGAGCATTCACACGCACAAGCAGAGGCAGCAGCAGGCTCTCTGCTGAGCTGGGAGCCGGATCTGGGGCTCAGTCCCAGGACCCTGGGATGATTACCTGAGCTGAAGGCAAATATTTAACTGACTGAGCCCCTCAGGTGCCCCTTATTTTTTATTTCTAAATAAAGTTTAGTTGACATATAATAATATGTAAGTTTCAGGTATACAGCATAGTGATTTAACAATTATATACATAACAAAATGTTCACCGGGTTAAGTGTGGTTACCCTCTGATTCAGCCCTATTTTGAATTTGATTTTCTGGGAATTTTCTTCAAAATATAGCATATGTGTGTATTAGTTTGCTAGGCCTGCTGTAATAAAGTACCACCAACTAGGTGGCTTACACAGCAGAAGTTTTTTATATTATAGTTCTGGAGACTAGATGCCAAGATAATGTATTGACACACTTGGTTCATTATGAAGGTTATGAGAGCCCTCCTTTCCACTCTGTGCCTCTCTCCTAGCTTCTGCTGGTTTGCTAACGATCTTTGGCCTTCTCAGCTTTGGCCATGCTAAGCTTGGAGCCCATAGGTGACATCACCCGATCTCTACCTTTATGTTTGCATTCTCCTTTTGTGCAGATCTGTGTCCAGATTTTCCCATTTTATCAGGACTGAATTAGGATCTTCCCTACTCCAAAATGGCCTCATCTTAACTAATTTCATCTGCACTGACTCTCATTCAAATTAGGTTCCATTCTGAGGTATTTGGGTTAGAACTTCAACATATGAATGTTGATGGAGACACAAATCATAACAATATATTTATTAGTAAATGAGTTAGTGTGTTAGTTCTTGTCTTTCTTCCACCTCAGAATTTGAGAAAATATAGTTTCTTTTTCTCTTTCTTGGGGTGAAGGTGGAGGAGGAGGAGGATAATGATGATGATAATTTGGTCCTGGAGCACGAGGTGACTTGCTTTAAAATTTTCATATATATAATTATAAAGGAGGATAATTAACCCTTATGTACCAACTGTCCAGCTTGTCAGGTCATCTTGTTTAAACTTAAACAGAACTGCTAGTTATCATCACAACTAAAAAGCTGACAATTTCCCCAATTTCTTTTGTTTTCTTTTCCTCCCTATTGGTTTGTTCTAATAAGGATTCAGTCAAGGTCTGTACGGTTTGGTTATTTTATCTCTTAGGTTGCTTTCCATCTGTAGATACCCCCATCTCAGTTCCTCTCCTGAGTACTTACTGAAGAAACTGGACCATTTATCCTATAGGGTTTCGAACTTTGATTTTGTGATTTTAATCCATAGTGTCATTGATCATACTCCTCTCTTCCCTGTATTTCCAAAAACTAGTATTTAGATTTAGATACTTAATCTGATTATTTATTTGATGGAGAGAGAGATCACAAGTAGGCAGGCAGGCAGAGAGAGTGGAGAAGCAGGCTTCCCGGTGAGCAGAGAGCCCGATGCAAGGCTTGATCTCAGGACCCTGAGATCATGACCTGAGCTGAAGGCAGAGGCGTAACCACTGAGCCACCCAGGCGCCCTGAGATTAAACTTTTGATGTATATTTTGGTCAGGAGGCATAATGTATGTATGTATGTGTGTGTGTATATATATATATATATATATATATTTTTTTTTTTTTTTTTTTTCATTGATCATTGCCAGCATCAGTGATTCTTAGCTATGGTCATTTTGGCAAGATTTGGAGACAAGTTGTCACTTTTTGGAGAGGGGATGTTACTGGTTTGCAGTGAGTTGAGGCCACAGATGCTGCTAAACATCCTCCTTTATGAAGGACAGGGCTCTGCAACAGTTATCAAGCCCAAAATGTCAGTAGTGCTGAGATTCAGAAACTCTAGCCTACTTTCAGGATTTCATTAGGGGTTTGTAAAATGTCTTATTCTAATACTATAATTGATTCTTCATTAGTGAATTTTTCCTTAAAGAGAAACTTACATTGTTCATACAGGAAAGGCAGGATAAATGTTTCTTTCCCAGTTTTCAAAATAATCAATTAGTTCTTTAACATCTTCCAAAATTGACCAATGAATTCCGTGATTCTTTTTAAGTATAATTATGAGCTTTAATATATTTGTGTTTTAATCCACTGCAGTAATTTTTACTGATGCTTAGTTTGTATCATCTTTTGACATTAGGTGCTTCTTCATGTTGGTTTCTTAGCTCTTTTGACATGACCACAAAGTCTGATATTGTGCCAGAGAGAAGGAATTAAACAGATGTGGTAGTTAGATTTAGGTGATGTTTTTCATGAGAAAATGTACTCATGCAGAGTAGAATATCATTTTTGCTCCTTGAGAATGTAGTAGGATGAACCAAGCTATAGGAAGAAATTTTAGAGCATTTTACAAATATGTTTTGTGTTAAAACTCTGCCTCAGTGGTTTCTCAGGTTTATTATAAATGTGCAGTGGCCCGCTAAGCAAATTATCTCTAATAGGGAATTTATCCAGTGGACTAGGCACACTGAAATTTTTTAAGTGGGGAAGATTGATATTCAAAAAAAATTTTTTTTCGACATTCACATTTTTTTAAAAAATGATGAGTGTGTACTAAAATCTACTTTAGTATACGCTTAAAAATTGAAGATGTAATTTGACCTTTGAAACTTTCTGCTTGGGGCCACCTGGGTGGTTCAGTTGGTTAAGCATCTGCTTTAGGTTCAGGTCATGACCTTGGGCTCCTGGGATTGAGCCCTTACATTGGGCTCCCTGCTCAGTGGGGAGTCTGCTTCTCCCTCTCCCCCTGCCCATCCCCACCATTTGTGGTCTCTCTAGCTCTCTCTCTCTCTCTCTTTTTAAGATTTTATTTATTTATTTTTGACAGAGACTTAGTGAGAGGGGAACACAAGCAGGGGGAGTGGGAGAGGGAGAACAGGCTTCCCGTGGAGCAAGGAGCCTGATTGCAGGACCCTGGGATCATGACCCAAGCCAAAGGCAGGTGCCTAATGACTGAGCCACGCAGGCACCCTCCCTCCCTCTCTTTCAAATAAATATATAAAATCTTTAAAAAGAAACTTTCTACCTGTGTTTATTCTTCAGTCTGTTCCTACTAAAACTGTTTGATATTTTATTACAGTTAAGCCCTCTGAAGAGTTTTAACTAGAGCCTTCTCTAATGCAAGTCATGCATTTGATTGATATGTATAATATAGACTATTCATTGTTTTCTAATTTTGCTTTTCACAAAGCAATCTGAAGAGGATGTGAGTCAGTTTGATTCAAAGTTTACACGTCAGACACCTGTTGACAGCCCAGATGACTCAACTCTCAGTGAAAGTGCCAACCAGGTCTTTCTGGTAAGTGAAAGAATTTCCATGTAGCCATGAGAAATTTAAGTATTAGGATGGACCTTTTTCAATAAGAAAATTCAATTTGTTTGCTTTGCAGTTGATATAGATAACCTTAGATGCTATTTTTTATTAGTTAACTTGGGTTTTTTAAGTTTTCTGACTTGCTAAATTAAAAAATTGATTCCCATAATCCAGTGTTCCATTTCAGCATTTAGAGTAGAACTGTATGGTTCTTTGGAGTATATGATTCCCTTTTACGTGGGCCGCTGACTTAAAATGATGTTTGCCTCAGTATCTCTATTGGAAGTCACACCATTGTAACAGTAGGAGAAGAATTCACTGTAACTATTTTATTCTTGGAATAGTTACAGATTTTTGGTACATTTTCATGCACCTCTGTAGGGGATTTTTAACCTGTTAATTGTGAATATTAGACATCAAAATATATTGGTTTATATGTAGTAGGAAATAAACTAATTCTCACTGTAGAAGTATTTGTATTGATTTGTACCTTGTCTCCTCAGAAAAGCAAAGCTTTTAGATTTTTAGATTGTTTTTTAGATTTTTTGAGGGCTTTTAGATTTTGATCAACAAAAACCTCATTTTATACCATTTATTTTGTTACATAAAGTGAATCTCTTTATTTTTTATTTATTTATTTCTAGGAGTTCTTATTTATTTGACAGAGAGAGAGAGTGCACAAGCAGGCAGAATATAGAGGCAGTGGGAGAAGCAGGCTCCCTGCTGAGCAAGGATCCCTATATGGGGCTCGATCCCAGGACCCTGGGATCATGACCTGAGCTGAAGGCAGTCGCTTAACCAACTGAGCCACCCAGGCGCCCCTCTTTAAAAACTAATAAGAAACAGTAACATCTCACTTATCTGGAGATTGTGGTCAGAGCAACTTCAGTTCAATAATTATTTAAATTCCTATCAAAGAATTAAAGGAAATTTAAAGATGGTTAAGGCACAGACTGGTCCTCTTGGTAGTTAAACTATGTGGGGAAATGGTTTCTGAAGTCTACATACACTTGTCACAAAGCATGTGTGCTACAGAATTGCACCTCAGTCTTTAGGACATCACCCAGAGGCTTATTGAGTCTTTTTACTATAACTCAAAATGCCTATTCATAGGTAACTAGAATTATAATTAGAAGGGAAGTTTAGGTGGAGGACTGATTGTTAAAGGCATAAATATTGACAGCAAAGAAATGACACCTGGTGGTTTGATAGCAAGGTCCAAGAAAGAACTAAAGCTAACAGAACTGCATAATTGCCTATTATAATTGAGGGTTTTCACAATGCTGACCCTTATACATCAAGAAAATACCAAATCTAAAAAAAAGAAAATACCAAATCTATCCAATCATTGGTATTAAGTCAGAGAGACCATACATGCCAACTTAGAGAATTCTGTTTTTACTTTGGCCTAATAATGAGAAACTGTTTGGGGTGTGATAATCTTAGTTGCTCATGTGCATGTGGCTAGAAACAGTAGAATTTTCTTTGCATTCATCTTGGTATTTAATAGCTTAACGTGGAGCCTACATTTTCCTATTTTGTTCTACTCCTTCAACAAAGTGGAATACTGTTTACTGGCATATGGGACTCAATAGAATTCTGCCTTCCTGAGATCCATGCCTCAAGAAATGGCTGGAAAGAAGCTAACAGGTGTGAAATGAGATTGGGGAGATGGGAGGAAACAGAGTGCTGATTTTAGGTGTGCACTGTTATTTTGGTGTGTTAGAGACTGAAACCACATTTTCTTGATATATATGACAAAACGCCATTCTGGAGTCAACAATTACTATCTTTTAGGGTTTTACATATGTGGCTCCATCTGTACTTGAAAGTGTGAAAGAAAAATTTTCCTTTGAACCAAAAATCCGATCACCTCGAAGATTTATTGGCAGCCCACGAACACCTGTCAGGTATTCAGACTTTGTTATTCTCACCTCTTTTTTTTGTTTGTTTTTAACCTGGAGGAGAATGCTTTAAGAAATTTATGCCAGGTTATATAAAAGAAAGATCTGTTGTATTCTCTTTGGTTGACATAAGCACAGCGTCTGCATCTTGTATTGTATGCTATGTAGTTTACCTTCCCTCCTGTGAAAGTAAGCTGCTGCACTGGCAAATATCTTCCTTACCCATTCATTCAACGTTTATTGTATACCAGGGACTGTGTTGCATGATGGAGATACATAATTAACACAAGAAGTGTCCTTGTCCTAACGCTTACAGTTTAGTGAGAAGAGAGTCAAAATAACCCAAGGAGGAAATATAGGAATTATGTAATCATATGAAGTAGTATATGAAGAAAAATTTCTTCTATATGAAGAAAAATAAAGAGTGTGGCGGTAACAAAGAATCACAGGGGGGCTCCTATTCATGGTGGTCAGAGAAAGGCCTCTCTGGTGAAGTAACATCTATGAATGAAGAGAAAAAGCCACCCATACAAAAAATAGAAGTATAGGATGTTACAGGTAGAGCAACAACCATACAAAAGCCAGAAGGGAGGAAAAACTTGGTCTTGGAAATGAAAGGTCAGTGTTCCTGACATGTGGTTAGTGATGAAGAGAAAGGTTTGGAGGAGTATTTTATCTTAAATACAATGGGAAACTGTTTCAAGTGGGGAGTAAAATGATTAAAAAAAAAAAAAGTTATCACTGAGGGTTTTACATAGGCAGGTATAGAGGTAAATAGACCAGTTAGGAAACTCTAGCAATTAGTCTAGGGGAACGATGGCCTTTGTAGTAATTCACACAAAAATAAAACTAAATAAAAATAAATATCACATTACCCCACTTCCTTGAAATTTAAGGGAAATACTTCTTGTTGAGATAATCCTTGAGATAAATGAGTGATAGCTCTTCCTTGTCTTAAAGCCCAGTCAAATTTTCTCCTGGGGATTTCTGGGGAAGAGGTGCTTCAGCCAGCACGGCAAATCCTCAGACGCCTGTGGAATATCCAATGGAAACAAGTGGAGTAGAGCAGATGGATGTGACGATGAGTGGGGAAGCTTCAGCACCACTTCCAATACGACAGCCGAACTCCGGGCCATACAAAAAACAGGCTTTTCCCATGATCTCGAAACGACCAGAGCACCTACGTATGAATCTATGACAGAGCAACGATTTTAATGAATTAAGGCAAAAAAGGTGGGGAAAGGATGTGTGAGCATCCTGTAAGGTGAAACAGGAAGACTCAAAATGACAGTCTCGAAGAGTTAGTGTCATTACATTGAACACTTTGGACAGAGGAAGAATAAACATGGATTTTAAAAAATCAATCAATGGTGCAAAAAAAAAAAAAAACTTAAGCAAAATAGTATTGTGGAACTCTTAGGCACATCAATTAATTGATTCCTAGCGACATCTTCTCAACCTTATCAAGGATTTTGATGTTGATGGCTCGAACTGACAGTATTAAGGGTAGGATGTTGCTTCTGAATCACTGTTGAGTTCTGATTGTGTCGAAGAAGGGTTATCCTTTCATTAGGCAAAGTATGAAATTGCCTGTAATACTTGCAACTAAGGACAAATTAGCATGCAAGCTTGTTCAAACTTTTTCCAGCAACGTGGAATCAAAGACAAAAGAAACTTAACAATTGATGTTTTACGTGCAAACAACCTGAATCTTTTTTTTATATAAATATATATTTTTCAAATAGATTTTTGATTCAGCTCATTATGGAAAACATCCCAACTTTAAAATGCAAAATTATTGGTTGGTGTGAAGAAAGCCAGACAACTTCTGTTTCTTCTCTTGGTGAAATAATAAAAATGCAAATGAATCATTGTTAACCACAGCTGTGGCTCGTTTGAGGGATTGGGGTGGACTTGGGGTTTATTTTCAGTAACCCAGCTGCAATACCTGTCTGTAATACTAGAAAAAAAATTATTTAATCATTTCTACTTGCAGTACTGCTATGTGCTAAGCTTAACTGGAAGCTTTGGAATGGGCATAAATTGTATGTCCTACATTTCATCCTTGTCCTGGGCCTGCATTGCACTGGAAAAATGTCGCCACCTGTTCTTATACCAATATTTGGTTCAAGACGCCAAATATTTTCAGCCCATGGCTGAAGAAGGATGGAAAAGAGTCAGGATAAAATGCATACTGAGGGCAGTAAAGTGAGGGAGAGAGGGAGATCCAGGGAAAGAGGGTGTTGTCATGTTCCACTCTCTGTGTCTAATCTCTTTACAGCAAATTGGTAAGATTTTAAGTTTTACTTCTAACTGTTTTTGCTGTCTACCTTCCTTAGGTTTTTTTTCCTCAACAGTTTTAAAAGGAAAAAAGTACTTTTCTTTCTCCTATACTGGGGCTACATTTTTTGATTGTAAAAATATTTGATGGCCTTTTGATGAATGTCTTCCACAGTGAATAAGGAAACTTAGTGGCTTAATTTAGGAAACATGTTAACAAGACACTATGTTTTTGAAATTGTAACAAAATCTACATAAGTGATATACAGGTACAAAGAATAAAAATAAAGGTAACTTTACCTTTCTTAAATACTTCCTGCCTTAAAGAGAGCATTTCCATGACTTTAGCTGGTGAAAGGGTTTAATATCTGCAGAGCTTTATAAAAATACATTTCAGCGCATACTGGTATAATAGATGATCATGCAGTTGCAGTTGAGTCTTAACGTCTCTTTTTGTTTTTTATAATGTCTTCAGTCTGAGTGTGCAAAGTCAATTTGTAATATTTTGCAACCCTACAGTTTTTTTAAATAGATGCTGCTTGCTATGTTCTTCAAACCTTTTTGAGCCATAGGATCCAAGCCATAAGATTCTTTATGCATGTTGAATTCAGTCAGAAAAGAGCAGAGCTTTGCTTATCTAAATGGCAATTCAAGTGAGATGAGATGAAATCCTATGACATTAGGCAGAATAGAACTATGAAGGAGGATTGGAAATACACCTTTTCAATTGTGGCAATAAATGAAAGAATTGGTTACAGTTCATCTTTGGACAGACAGCCTTTTTTTTTTTTAATCACTTCCTCTAGACCCCTTTCTCCTTTTATGCAGCAGCCTACTGATAACTTTATAACTGTAGCTAGTAAATTAGAAGCTACAGTAATGATAAGGGCAGAAATTGCACTTGGAGTACAGATCTTTGTTCTCTGACAGTTTATAATGTCTGAAAAAACAGAGCCCAAAAGCTCTGGTGATAGGTGCAGGCTTTATTTCAGACTGTAAATGGCTTGTGCTACTCTGATACTTGTTTTCAAATGTGTTTACTAACTGTAGTGTTGACTGCCTAACCAAATTCCAGAGAAGTTTTTACACCAAAATAGTCCTCCTCAGTCCTATTTGCTAGTAAGTAATATTTGCACTGTGATTGGCTGGCTCTAACCACCCCATAAACTGTTTTCATAATTAGTACTGCCAGCAGTAGTGGCGCACGCTGCAACTTTTCTGCATAAAAAGCATAAATTGCATACCTACCATCCATACAAATAGTTTTTCAAACTTACCATTGAGTGAAATTAATTTCTGTGGCAAGTTTACAGAGAAATTGTGTTTCATAAATGGATATCCCTACTATGACTGTGAAAACATGTCAAGTGCCACTTTAGTGTCACAGACAGAAAGCACACACCTATGCAATATGGCTTACCCTATATTTATTTGTAAAAATCCAAGCATAGTTTAAAATATATGATGTCAATATTACTAGTCTTAAGTTTCTAAGAGGGTTCTTTATGATTATTCCAGGTAAGTGTATAAAAGAGATTAAGTGCTTTTCTTTCATCACTTGATTATTTTCTTTAAAATCAGCTATTTACAGGATATTTTTTTACTTTATACATGTTGTTTTTTAATTAAAATATAATCACTGAGAACTGAAGTTTACTAATTTTGATTTTATAAGGTTTGTAGCATTACAGAATAAACTGGGATTTATAAACCAGCTGTGATTAACAATGTAAAGAATTACTGAACTTGAACCAGATTTTTAGGAAAATTGTTACTTCTTTTCCCCTTTATGGCCTCACCTAATTTGAATCCTTCAAGAAGAATTTTTCCATACTATTTTTTGAGATAGAAGATAATTGGGGGGTGGGGGGTAAGAATGCATGTATAATACTCCATAAATTCAACATTCTTTAACAAATGGTTATAAACAAGATGTATCTTCAATAGTAATATACTGAGCCTTGGATTGTGTGTTTAATACAGGATCTAACTATTTTGGTTACTCAGTCATATGGTTCCTAGCTTACAAGTGTTAGATCTTAAGATTATTCCCATGAGAAATGTTGAATTTATGAAGAATGGATTTTTGAGTCTTTGAAAATGGTTAATTTCTCAAATAAAAATATCAGTGTCCAAACATCTACCCTTTTTCATAGGAGTAGACACAGCAAGCTGGACAAAACAATCATAAAAGTATATGTTACACCATGACCTGTGGTCTGTTGCTGATCGATAAAAAAACTTTTCTTGTGTGATTCTTAATTTATCACTACAGCACAAGTATTATCTCAGTGGATTATCCGAAGTAACATCTGAATGATGGGTTCATCTGTGTTTGCTCTTTAAGCTATTTTTTTTTCCTATCCCAAGTTGGCTTTGCATCTATCAGAGTAAATAACTTCTTCAGCTGCCTTAGTAGGAGTGCTATGAGGGTAACACATTTTTCTGCTTTTCATCTTGTATTTAGTTTCCTGTATTAAGTATTTTGATTTCGGATTGAATGAATGTAAATAGAAATTAAATGCAAATTTGAATGAACATAAAATAGAAGTGATTTTTTTATTATTCTAAGATAGGAAGAAATAACTATCAGGTGCACAAATGGTTTCAATAATTTTTTGCTTTAACATACCACATACATTCAGGTTCTCATATTTAATAAACTGCTTATATATGTGAGGACTGACAGTTGTAAAACTTTCTGCTGAGAATTTTAAGCTACTTAAATATATAACAAGTTTTAGTACTGATATATTAGATGTTACACACTTGTAATTTCCAAGTTCTTTTCAATAGTTGAATTGGTTGCTTAAAAAAAAACTCGTGAAAAATAACTTCACAGATAAACTAGGAAGACTTTCTTGTGCTGACAGTCAAGTTTGTTTAGCCACACTTGTTGACTACATTTGGTTATTAGATGTGTATGTACTACATAATGTAGTGCATGAATGTTTTTAACTAATGTCTCAATATATCTAGTGTAAGATGGGTATTTAGTGTAAGCCACTTAATTGAGGTAATTCTGTCACATTTGGATGAGTTATCTATAGAAGTTCTCAAACTGACTTTACTTTTATATAACACATGGTTTTGGCTCTTGATGCTGATAGAAACAGTCTTTCAGAGGGTATGATCTGGATTCACAGAATAAATGGGTTTTTGAATCCCTGTTCCCATTTTTGAGGTGAAGAAGTGTAAGTAGAGAAATGCTTCCAGTTCATCACTGTTGTTGGTGGATGACATAGCTCTCCTATTACATTCCCCCACACCTTTTAAATTCGTATGTGAACTGCTTTCTTGTTTATTAAGAACAAAAACCCAACTGTCTATTATGGGCCTTTTTTATTAAATCATATTAAGAAATAATACTATCCATATAGCCATAGGGTAAGAAGAGTAGGTATTGTAATAGGGCTTACCCATGTAGTAAGATGCTACTCTTGTATTGGTAATAAGAAGTCAGCACAACTATCTTTCACACTCAAATTTTAATCCCAAACTGCCTTTCTCAGTCGTCTCCTGCTGTAAACCTAAATAACTCTTGGCTTCATCACAGTCAAAGTGATTTTAAGGTCAAGTAAGCTTGTTTTAGTATTTGTAACTGTTCTCAAAGCAGGTAATAGAGTTAAATATATCATCACTGATTAGCAACAGTTGTACTTATAACTTGGCAAAATTTATGTAGGAAAAATAGTTATAGGCTAATATTCTTTTTTTCTTTTTAAAATTTATTTATTTATTTGACGGAGAGAGCCAGAGAGCACAGTGGGGGTAAACAGTAAAGGGAGCAGGAGAAGCAGGGTTCCTGCTGAGCAGGGAGCCTGATACAGGGCTCGATCCCAGAATTCTGGGATCATGACCTGAGCTGAAGACATCCGTTTAACCTACTGAGCCACCCAGGTGCCCAGCTTTCTAATACTCTTGTCAGTTTGGGTGGCTGTATAGGCATGGAATTGACTTAATCTGTAGCTGGTTGGTCACTGTCCTTATTTATCCATATGCTGGTTTAGACTTTGTCTTAATTCTATAAATTTGTTTTCTGCCTCCCAGCTTTTCCTTTCCACTATCTTTTCCTTGTGTGCAAACTGATTAATGCTAATAGAGAAAATGGGCAGAAACTTCTGCTCTAGATATAATCAGTCCTTCATAGTTTTTTTTTAAGATTTTATTTATTAATTTGACAGAGAGTGTGTGCACACAGTAGGGGGAGCAGCAGGGAGAGGGAGAAGCACGGAGCCCCGATGTGGGGCTCAATCCCAGCACTCTGGGATCATGACCTGAGCTGAAGGCAGACGCTTAACAACTGAGCCACCCAGGCGTCCCAGTTCTTCATACTTCTGTTAAAGATTTGATTCTGTCTTAAAGGTTCGTGGGGAGAGAGAAACTGCCTCATTACTTTTTCTATCACCCTGTATAAGAAGTACTTAGAGGCAAACAGACTACACTAAGGCGTCCTGGAAGCCTCTTGAGTGTAAGCTTTAATCTCAAGTAACAACTCAAGCATAAGATTCCAAAACTTTTTGGAGAAGGCTTTATAAGGGAAATCTTCTGTAGAATTTGAGTAGGTCTCATTTATCACACTATTCAAATCATCAGTGAAGCCAGCTGTTTGTAATCTATGTGATTATTTTAATAGTTACTTTAAGATAGTTCATGGCACTATACAAAAAGTAGTATCATGTACATTAAAGCTGATGGCAGATTGTATGTATGAGGTCCACAAACAATGAATTTAAATCATCTGTTCTCATTTGATTGCTAAGCATATTAACAGAGCAATACAGTATTAAAATATATCATCCTCAGTAAATTAATCTTCACTTAGAAAATCTGATTGTGTACAGATAAAAAATAGCTTTTAGAACTTTCATTTAAAAATACAAACTTTATGAAAATTTTAAGAATTTTTAGAATGGGAACTATAAAAGTCAATGCTAAAGAAAATTCTTTCAGATAAACTGTATCTTAAAATACTATGAAAAATATTCTTTATTCTGAAAACAATGTCAGGAAAAGAATACCTGAGTTCCTCTAAAACCACTAGTTTTAGTTACCCAATTACCATTTTGATAACATTAATGAGAAAACGTTCACAATTTAACACTGCAACCACCTGTCAAATAATTAGGACAGAATAAATCTTCCATATGCATTAGGCTGAACATTACTTATATATTTCTTAAAACATAAGGTTCTCTCTTTTAATCTTTTGATAAATTTGACTACACACTTAAATCTTACTATAATAACCTAAAACCGTTTGAAGCCATTTTCCTTAACTTCTAGTCCTGAAAACCCATTCTAATGTCTTTATCAATAGTCAGTGTAACCAAATGAAATTAGTGTTTTGTGGCCTTCATAGTTCATACAACTTAATATATTTGAAGGTGGAATGAAGTGGCTCCATCTTTCCATTTGTTTATATGGTCTGAGATCACAGTTCGGCACAGTGGACACGTTTTCTCTCTGTTAAACCATAAGGTAATGCATTCTTCACAAAATATATGCTGTAAGGGAATTAAAAATTAGACTTTATACTTGATAACATTTTAATTTAAAATCATCACACTGCAGAGAATCATACTCTATAGCTGAAAAGAATTTGAGAGTACCAGTCCCTTCATTTTACAAATAAGAAAGTACATTCAAAAACACAAAGCAGTGTCAGTAGTAGAGCCAATAGTATTCTTCTGACTATTCATTTAATGACCTTTAATAAAATATATGCTATCCCTAGACGATAACTTTAAGTGTAATAACTTCACAGCTTAATAAAGTCTTTGAGAGTAATTGCCATAAAGTGTAAGAAAGGTCCTTACATACATTCCTCTGCATACATATCATTAGACCATAAGGGATAAGATTTAGCTAATCTACCAAACCTCTGATTACAGGTAAGAAATTACTAGTATGTGGCCTGAATGCTACTTTAGGCTAAACACTGTAGATTTTTCCTTTCAACTAAATAAATATCACTTGTGACTCAGAGAAGATACTGTATTTGGTATGCTTAAAAAATATACTTACCTGACAGATAAGCAGAATGGGTTTTTGAAATTCAGCTTGACATATTGAACAAATGTCATCCACATCTGAACACTGTCTCTTGCTGGCAGCCACTCCGTAACTCTAAGAAGAAAAAAGTTTTGTTCATCTACAAATCTTTTTCTTTCCTGTTACTCAAATACATAGGTGATGCTGTATTTCTCAAATCTCCCTGGAACTAGGCATTTGAAGACTCTCCTGAAGGACACAAACATTTCAAAACTGAACTTTGTATGCAGAACCATGTCTGGATGGACTACGTGCATCCAGGTGAAATCATTAGATACATAATAGGATCTTGAAAGACTCTTAGATGTATTAATAATAATGATGATGAAAATGCTATAAATCCAACTGGCTTAAGAGATTAAGCAATCTGAAATATAGCTATTATAAAATCAATATTCATGTATTATGTGTATTACCAAATAGCCCACTTATTACCTACAGCATTGATTCAAAACAGTCCATTCAAAGCTTGGCAGGCTGAATGTAACTCATGTAGAGATAGCTTTTAAAACAGATTTCTGTGCTCCACACTGGAGACTGACTCACTAGGTCCAGACATACTGGGATGTGACCCAGGAATCTAACTTTTGAAAGTTCTCTAAGTGAACTGAAAATGAAGAAGGTTTGGGAACCACTGAACAGTGTCCTTTTACTAAATCTAAAAATAAGTTGACTGTCATCCTTAATTATCACTAAAGTCAGAGAAGACTTACTACTAGGAAAAAAAATTTTACAAAAGAACTGGAATTGCAAAATGCTGTGGGGCAGCGTTATACTGTCAAAATAGACTGAATGATAACACTATTCTTTGAATTTCCTTTTCTCCTAAAGTCCTTAATGTTTTTGATCTCTTTAAAACCTTAATAACTTCCTCACCAAATTGAGTAGAATATAGTCATTAACTAGACAGGACAAAATGTTGCCAATAAGATTACCTTTTTGTAGAAATAATGAGGAAAAGGTGGCTGAAGAGAGGTAAGAATAACCAAATTCAGTCATGGTAATGAGAGCAAAGCATGACCTGACTCAACCTGAGGCTATGATCTAAACTTATGTTACTAAATACTGTGAGTTAATAAAACAAAGACTCAAAGAATAAAAATACTTAAAAATAAGATTTTTTTTTTTTTTAGTCTGGTCATATTAAAGATTCCAGACAAACTGGAACACTGATGAATGATCCTGATGCTGATTTCCCTTCATTAAAATGTCATTTAGCAGAGTGCACTGCAGATACACAAGCATAAGCTGACAAACTTTTAAAATAGCACTCCTGGGAAGCCTGGGTGTCAGTCAGTTTATCATCAGACTTGGTTTTGGGTCAGGTTGTGATCTCAGGGCCGTAGAGATTGGGCCTGCCTTGGGGGGCTTGAGCACAGTCTACTTGAGAGTTTATCTCTCTCTCCCTCTCCCCCTGCACCTCCCATTTCCTCTCTTTCTCTCTCAAACAAACAAACAAATAAACCTTAAAAAAAAAAGGCACTCCTGTGTGGCATTTTGCAGACTCCCTTTAGGTGAAGACTTATTTTGATAGTGATTGCCATTTCCCTGGCAAAGTTAAGGATTGTGTATATATGCATGTATTCAGAGACTCAAGAGTAAATCAAAGAGTATCAAAGACTGTGATTTCTCTTTATGCCTCACAGAGAGTGACTATCAAAGTATTTCAGCACAAGCCTTACTAAATTATAGTAAAATGGTTGATACTCATATAATCAATTCAATAAACTTCATCTAAGCAGAACTCTCAATTTTAACATACCTATCTGAAGAATGAAGTCTGAATAGGAAGCAGCAAAACTTATTAGTAGCTCTAGGGGCATGTGGTAGAGTATGTGACTCTTCATCTTGAGCTTGGGAGTTCAAGCCCCACACTGGGCACAGAGCTTGCTTTAAAAAAATAAGATTACTAGCTCTGTCTAGCCAAAGACTGTCCATATCTGAGTACTGATAACCTCTGAGACTAGGAAATAGCAAATGACCCTTTCTCTGCAACGTGTAACATCAGTGGAATCACATAATAATCAAGTTTATAACTGACACTAGAGTTTCAATATATTGTTAAATTCCACATTGTGAACTTATTAGTATATATAGAATTGACTTGGGGAAATTTTTCCAGTAAGATTTGAAAGGACATTTTTGGTAATGAGCTTTTCTTGTATACACAATAAATTATAATGAGAGCATTTTTACAGGAGCTAAAGAGTTAATGGAAGTACACAAAGCCACCACTTGTGAAAAAAATTTTTTTAAATTTTAAAAATTAAAAATAATTTAAAAATAAATTATTAAAATTTATTTTAAAATTAAAAAAAAGATTTATATATTTTTAGAAAGCATGTGTGAGCGGGGGTGCTGAGGGAGGAGGGACAAGGGGAGAGGGAGAGAATCTCAAGCAGACCTCCTGCTGAGTACAGAGCCAAACTCAGGGCTTGATTTCATGACCTGGCTGAAACCAAGAGTTGGATGCTCAACCAACTGAGCCACCCAGGCACCCCAAGTGAATTTTCAAAAAAAGGAACTATAAAAGTTCATGACAAGATTCTTTTTTTTTTTTTTTAAACTACTCTTTATTTATTTATTATTTTAAGATTTTATTTATTTATTGGACAGACAGAGATCACAAGTAGGCAGAGAAGCAGGCAGAGAGAGAGGAGGAAGCAGGCTCCCCGCTGAGCAGAGAGCCCGATGAGGGGCTCGATCCCAGGACCCTGGGATCATGACCTGAGCTGAAGGCAGAGGCTTCAACCCTCTGAGCCACCCAGGTGCCCCTCATGACAAGATTCTTAAGGGAATGTATATAAACCCTTATGTCAAGTGATCTGAAGTGGCACATTCAAAAATACAAACATCACATCAACTATCAGGTGGTTGTCAACATTCAAGTCAAGAAACTTATCACAGAAATAAAACTGAAATTATTACCATATCTCTATGTACCAAAGTACTAAAAAAAGCACGTAATTATGAAATCCACACATTTTTTAAGAAGCAAGCTCTATGCCCAATGTCAGATGTGAATTCACTACCCAAAATCAAGAATCACATGCTGTACTGACTGAGCCAACCAGGTGCCCTATGAAATCCATACTTTTAACATTTTATGAACTAAAACATTTTTATAATGAAGAAAGGTAAAAAGTGTTTTTTTCTTTAACTGATAAAAAGTACTTACTGGTCGTTTAAAAAATATTCGCAAAACCTGTCGGAAAGTTCTCAGATGTCCAAAAAAGTCCAAAAGCTGAAAAAGGAAATAAGAGAAAGTTCTTGAATTCAAAGAACCCTGTCTGTTAAACCCAGAGATCAAAGCTAAATTCCCATAATATCAAATACTAATATTAATGTAATGCTCATTGCATATTCATTTCATTCTAAATATATTTAAAATTCAGTTATGTAATATCTTACCAATTTATAGGTTTAAGCCAACTTTTTTTTTTCCCAAGACTTTGAGAGGGAAGGGGAGAGAGAGAACGAGTAGGTGGGAGGAGCAGAGGGAAAAAGAGAAGCAGACCCCTGGCTGAGCAGGGAGCCCGATGCGGGGCTTGATCGCAGGACCGATGATCATGACCTGAGCCAAAGGCAGTCGCTTAACCAAATAAGCCACCCAGGCACCCCTGTACTTAAGATTTTTTGAAGTTTCATATTAATTTGAGGGCAACAGGACAGTATACCAGTTCAAGAATTTTGTGTATGGACAGATACTAACTACTTTTGGGGATGGGTATGTTCTACTCTACCCATGCTATGTGGAGGTCCACTCCCCCAATTAAATCTGAGAACTACTGGATTAAGATAAAGATAAAGTAGATACAGAACCTGCCATTACTTTAAACTAGTGATATAAGCTATAAAACAGTTAAAAAAAAAGCAATAGTATGTAAAATCTGTAATCATCACATGAATCATTATACAATGAGAAGATTTATAACATTACCTACTTTTATTTATTTCTTTAAGATTTTATTTATTTATTTGGTGGCGGGGGAGAGCACAAGTAGGGGAAGGAGCAGAGGGAGAGGGAGAAACAGACTTCCCTGCTGAGCAGGAAGCCTGATGTGGGGCTTGATCCCAGGACCCTGGGATCATGACCTGAGCCACCCAGGTGCCCCATGTTACCTACTTTTAGTATGAGGTAGAGTAAAGCCAGCAATATCCCAAGACTCCGTCTGGTTACATTACCAAACTCCCCATAGCTTATAAGGTAACGAAACCAAACTGGTACGGGAACAAAAGTTCGGTAATACTGACATGATTCTTCTAAAAGCATGTACCAGTAACCCTAAAAAGGAAAGGAAAAAAAAAACAGCTACACAAGCTACTTATATACATAGCATAAATATTTCATACGAGTATTTGACAAAATATAAAATTAATCTTCATAATGATAATGGTTATGATTGGCAACCTCGTTCTCATAATTATTGAGCGATGTTGTTGTTTTTTTTTTTATAGATTTTATTTATTTATTTGACAGACAAAGATCACAAGTAGGCAGAGAGGCAGGCAAAGAGAGAGGTGTAAGCAGGCCCCCTGCTGAGCAGAGAGCCCGATGCCGATGCCGGGCTTGATCCCAGGACCCTGGGATCATGACCTGAGCCGAAGGCAGAGGCTTTAACCCACTGAGCCACCCAGGCGCCCCGAGCGATTTGTTTCTAAAGAATTTCTAAAGAATGACATAGTGAAATTTTTTTACATATACTATTAAGTAAAATTTACATTTTTGCTGATTACAAAAATTTGTAAAGTTTTTACTGAATATGAGAAAAACACTGAATACAGTTATCAATTATTAATTGATAAAGCCCTGGAGAACAGAAGTACAAATCTAAATTTTGTTATTCTATGTGTGATGTGGGGACTGATTTTTAGATTATTCTGAAGCAAATATAATTCTGATTTTATTGGACTAGATTAATATTTGGGTTCAAGTCTTTGAGTAAATGGTTGCCAGTCTGAAGTAATATAGATAATTTAAATTAGGTTATTTAGGAAACTGAAAAGTTATAAAAGAGTCATTTCAACAAAGACTAAATAGCATTGGTGTGGTTTGCTAACATTTTTTCAATAAGCCATGTTAGTTTCTTACCTTGGATTTAAAAGGCATGATGAAAGAAGGCATCAGCAAAATAAGGCATTTTAAGCCCATGAAGAGGAATTTCAGAATGAAGTCTGTAATTCCAACAATCCAAAGTACTTCCCAGAAGCTTGCATTGTCCAAGGTAGGATTTAAGAAAATTAAGCTACCAAGAGAAAAACATCAAAACTTAACCAAAGCAACATACAAAGGTCAAGTTTTGATAGGGGTTTTAAATTTGCTACCAAATATTTTACTTTAATTTGATGTATAAAAAATGTTGAGTTTGGCAAGATGTCAGAGTTCATGTAAATAGAGCAGAAAATCATTTTGCTTAAAGAGACTTTTCAAATGTTTAAATTTCAAGTGTTTCCTCCATAGAATAAAGAAAAACAGTCTTCCTAGCATGTTGGAAAGCTAGCCTGTAATCTAAAAAATTCACTACACACTAGATACTGCTGTTGTCTTCTCAACCAATCCCAATCAAGGTTCCATTCCCTCCTTTCCACTGAATTGCTTTTGTCAAGATCACCAATTCCTTCTGTCTTGCTAAACTCAAAGGCCACTTCTCATTTTCCACCTTCCTTCTCTGAATTACTTCTTCCTAGACTTCTAACATCACACTCTTCTAGTTCTCATTATGTGATGGATGGGTCCTTAAATCTCCTTTACTCCTCTTCCTTTAATTATAGGGATGTGCAGTCCTGCCCCCTCTCCTGTCTACATTTTCTGTCCCTCATTAGTCTTGGAGAGTTCCATAGTTTTTAGATATCAAGCACATGCTGGAAACCACCAAAATTTATAGCCCTAACCTTGACTCTAAGCTCATGACATATAGCTATAATCTCTTTAACAGTTCTACATGATCTCACCAACTTAACATGTCCAAAGCAAAATCAGTTCCTTCCCCAGTCTCCCAGCCCATAAATGGCATCACCATCCAGCCAGTTGCTAAGACTAAATCCTAGGTGTCATCTTTGATTCTTACCCCCTACCTACCTACCCAATGCAATCTGAGTGGTATTGGTTCCCCCTAGAAACTATATCCTAGATTGTAACATCTCTCCAGCTCTACTGAAGCCAAAACTTCTAATTACCTGATTAGAGCCAAAAATTCAAAACATTTCCATCTGACATGGAAATTTAACTACTGTCCTTTTACTAAGTCTTCACCTTGTTTCTAGAAACAGATCACATGTTCTCACCACACACACATAACTAAAGTAGGTGATGGATGTTAACTAGCTTGATTGTGTAATCATTTCATAATGTATACATATCAAAACATCATGTTGTATTATCTCAAATATATAAAATTTTTGTCAAAACTAAATAAAAATTTAAAAAGACCACCAGAAACAACTGAATGGTATTAAAAACTATTGATTATATAAGTAAAAACTTAAGTATCAAAAATTAAATAGAACCTGCTATAAGCCAAGGCACTGATATATAAATCTGAATGAGTCACTTAGACCTATTAATTTTGGAAGGAAAGGAATAGGTAAAAATTGAACTCTAACAATAATTATATACAAGTTAAGATATATGCAAAGTGCTATGGAATAAATGATTACATAAAAAAATGTGATTGTGTATTTGGACCTCAAATTACCTGTAATAAAGTGACTGAGAATGAAAGGTGTAATATAAAAGAACAGAAGATCCTGCTAAGAATACCAGTAACCAAGCACACTGAATCTTTGAGCACCTTTCCTGAAAAATAAACAATTTTATAATTTGTTACTATGAATTATGCCAGAATTATGTCATTAAACTATTTGAATGACTATTTTTATTAACTTAGAACATTTTAATAGATTAATCTTAATAAAAATATTGTTAAATTGTACATCAGCACACTCTTATCCTTAGTGAACAAAACAGAACTCATAAGTTTTTAAAATACAAGTTTCTTCACTGTATTAAAACATTACCCACATTACCCAGGTTTCAAAGAAACCCAAACTTCTACAAGCTAACATAAAGGACTCATCCAAGTACAAACTTTATCTCTGCAAAGGTATTTTTGCCTATTTTTGCCTCCCTGACAAAACAGAACTTTAAAAATGCATTTATCAGGATTTGTAAATATAATTTTCAAAATTTTCAAAGAATTCAGTAAGATTTTAACAAGGTGATTTGTTATTAGTATCACTTAGATTTTTTTAAAAAGATTTTATGTATTTATTTGACAGAGAGAGCACAAGCAGGGGAAGGAGCAGAGGGAGAGGGAGAAGCAGGCTCCCTGCTTCTATAGGATCATGACCGGAGCCAAAGGCAGGCAGACACTTAACTGACTGAGCCACCCAGGCACCCCTTAATTAAATTTTTTTAAGAAAATATTTTATTTATTTATTTGGGAAAGAGAGCATGAGGTGCAGGGAGGGGGAGCGGAAAGGGACAAGAAGCAGCCTGCCCACTGAGCTCAGAGACTGACAGAGGCTTGGTCTCACAAAGACCTGAGCCAAAATTAAGAGTAAGGATGCTTAACTGATTGAGCTATCCAGGCGCCCCTTAAAATTGTTTTAATTACTAGTTTAATTAAAAGTTTTAGGGGCACCTGGGTGGCTCAGTCAGTTGAGTGTCTGCCTTTAGCTCAGGTTCTGATCCTGGAGTCCTGGGATGGAGCCCTGTATCAGGCTCCCTGCTCAATGGGAAGCCTGCTTCTCCCTCTCCCACTCCCCCTGCTTGTGTTCCCTCTCTTGCTGTCTCTCTCTCTCTGTCAAATAAATAAAATCTATAAAAGTTTTACCTATTTTAAACCCTGAATTACATTTTTATAGTTTGATAGGTTCTAACTACAAACATCCAGGTCAGAATGTATGATCCTTTACAGAGATACAGCCCTTCAAAGTTGCTTTAAGGTGAAATTTTATAAACTAATCCTATTTCCCCCAATAATTTATATGACAAATAATTTGTCATTTGTGTAATGGAAAAACTATTTGGGTTTAATTTTCTTTAAATAAGAGAGACCTAAACAGTTTTAATACCTATTTGATGTATATTTATTTAACTATTTTAAAATTTTATAGGGCAACAGCTAAAGTTTTTAATGATATTATATAGTTTGGTCAAATTACTCAAAATATGAGGACACTTGACAAATCAGATCAAATAGTGAATTCTAAATCTTTTAATCCTATTAAGTTTTTCTATCAGGGACTCAACATACAAAGAAAATAAAGTGAAACAATGTAGTGTTAGGACAGATCATTTAGATAACAAAATTTAATATATCATGGATCTATAACATGTCTATTTAAATTTTCAAGAAAACTATCTTAATTCCTATTTCTCTCAAAAGCGAGTATATAATTAATTCTACAGAGAGAAACATTTAATGGTTTTTTCAGTTATTTGTTATACTTACTCTTAGAAAAACCTGATTTACAATGCTTTTGTTTGCATACATAAAAGTTGTAAGCAGCCCAATTCCAAGAGAAATTCCTGTTAGGAAATAAGTTCCAGTTAATTGAACGGAAAAAAAAAATCCAAGAGCTAACATAATGACATGAATTTAAAGGAAACATATATAATTTTAAAAGCTAACAAAATACAAAGCTTCAAGTAGATTACCAATAAAGAAAGAAAATTAACTGACAATGAAACAATTCAATGTTTTATTATACTCTACCTGTTATATGCTGCATAACAAGTTTGACACCGAGAATCAAAATATATGGAAGACTTTTGTGTAACCACTTGAAGAGATAGCGGAATTCTGAGAAGGAGCTACTACTATGATCTCCAGCCTCTGTGGCAGTATCATCAGGCTGCCTTGCTTCATTGTGGGAATGACTCCGTGAGCGGCTATGTATACATCCATGGGTACAGCTATGGACACCTGACCTTTTATTTCTGGAGGTTGGATTTTCAGCATATTCTTTAGGTATGGAGTTTATCTGGATATGAACATCTCCAGAATGAAGACAAGAACCTTCTCCTGTCAATTTTGTATGGACACATTGGGAGACTGAGGCATCCTCATTGCCTGCAGCTCCTGGAGGGCTGTGGAGTTGGCTACAGTTGGCTTGCATGACCCTTGAATACTTTTTCTGTGATCCAGATTTCTTTGTTTCAGGGCTCTATCTCCTAAAAAAGAGCAGAAAATATTCTAAGTGAACAGTTAAATACAGACAAATACTGCTCATAGGAATCCTTTATTCTAGAGGCCAATAGTCATAGTTGATGAATTATCTTCAGGTTATCTATCACTTGTTACTTAGACTCATCCCCCTTCCCTTAATGCAAAGGCTGTACCCAAACTATTTTTTAGGGAACATCTGGTACAAAAAAAAATTAGTTTCAGGTGCCTTCTTCTCTAGTGACAGAAGGAAAGCGCAAAATAGTCAAAGTATGAGTGCCCAGCAGATGTTAATAATGTATGAATACTCATTCATACTTGAGCATACATCAGTACATTTACTCAGCCCGAATGGAGCAGTTTCATCTCTGATGGAGACTCTACATTCCATAAAAGTCAGGCTGTATTTTTTAATGCTTAGAAAGGCTAGGAAGAAAAAAAAATTAAATTTTAATGCCTTTTAAAGTATCATGGAAAACTGATAATAAACACATTTCACTTAGGTGACCGACAAATTTCGTTTTATGCTGAAATAGCTTTCCCAAGGCTTAAAAGCTTTCTAATAACTACTTCCAAGAGTATTTCCGTCCCCCATAAAAGAAAGCGACCCAAATACCTTTAAAATAGGGAGACTTGGGGAATCGCCATGTAATTGCTAGGTAACTCTACTCTGAGTAAGGATAGTTAATATAGTCTGCCCATTAAAAATGTCATCATCTTTGGGGACGTGGGGGTTGGGGGTGGGAAGAACAAAAGACACTGGCAGGGAAGGATCCCTAAATGACCAGTGTAGGCAGAAATATGCTAGAATCAATCCCAGCTGACAGAACGCAGAGCCTTATCCCAGACTGCTGGTAGGAGGAAAATAAGGTTAACGTCAGGGTATGTTCTGTCATTCTATTTCATTCCTAAGTTTGAATTTTTTTTTTTTTTCAGTTACTGTACGGCGGTGTGGTTTTTAATGCCTTCAAAGGCTTTCACCGATGCTCCAACGCCACAGGTGCTATTTATTCCCTCAAACCTCCGAAGACCAACGTTGGACGAGACAGTTTGTGTATCTTTTTCCATAAATAAAAACGTAGAACCTTCCCACTTTCCTCCAAACACATGCAAGGGAACGAAAAAATTAAAAGCGAATGCACGCAACTCTTCCGGAATCCCCAGGACTCAGTTTTCCACCCACGTTAGAGCTTTGAGTGCCCCATTTATTTCCCACCTCCAACCCCGCCACCCCCCGAGCCCCATTCGCCGCGGTCTCCGGCCTCCTCCCGCTTTTCCCAGGCCTGACCTCTCATGACGAAGAGTGAACGGAGACCTCGGCAGCGAGCGCAGCAACAGCGGAAGACCCCGCCGCGAGGCCTTCAATCAAGGCCATCACCTTCAAACCCCATTACCGGCAACTTCGGCCCAGCTCGGTGGCGGCGGCGGCGCGCGCGCTCCCCGGACGTCCTCACGCGCGCGTGCGCTGCCCGCCGCGTGCCCGCCCCCGCGCAACGCGCAGAGGGACAGGAGGCGCCTGGGAACCCGGCAGCGGTGAGGCCGCGTGGGGGGGTGGCTGCGGCTAGTAGTGGGCTGCGCCTGAAGACCGCCGGTATAGGCGTCTGCATTAAACCATAAGCCGCCGTCTCTGTGTCCGTATATACGTGTAATCCGCCACAAGCCTCAGAGATCTGGACATTTTGAGTTAAAAATGTTTCGGTTCCGGTAGCCTGCCCTCGGAGGAGAGGCCTGATGTTGGGGGTTGTCTGAGGCCGGCCCCGCCTCGTCCCGCAGGATCCTGGGCACCTGCCTTGTGGAGGCTGCCCATCCCCCTGGTCTCGCTTCACGCCCGTCTCCTGGGACCCGAGTTAGAGATGCCACGTCAGCTAGGGGATGGCTCATCTTTGAAAGAGCGGCACGGAGCGAGAGCGTTCGGGTGTTCGCGTTTGCGTTTCTCGAGATTAACCCCTGACCGAGTTGTGGCTGGGTGGTGAAGTTTTAACTGAAATGAAAAGGCTTTTCGTTATGATGCTAAAGTTGGCGCCGTGTGAGCTAGACCCTGCCAAAACTTGAGGGAGAAGCTAAGAGAAGTCGGACAGAGATTTGGTGGCAGAGGAAGTAGATGTTAAATTTAGAAAAACCCTGTCTTGTATGGAATATAGGGAACTGTGCTGTCTTTATAAGTCCTAAAATGACAAGCTTGTTAAGAAAAATCTTAAACAACCCCGCCTGTTGATTCCTCGTGAAAATGTATTTTAAACAGTACTAAATGTATTCCACGAATCTTCCGCCATCCCGCACGATTACCAAAAGCCTTTCCATTCTGAACTGCAAGCCTTTTACCTTTAATTTATAGAAACTGACGTCAAGTAAATAACTCTTAATAGTCTTTCTACAGTATTGAATTAAATTGACGTCAAGTAAATAACTCTTAATAGTCTTCCTACAGTATTGAGTTAAATATTCCATGCCCTGTGGGGCTGCACTTACCTGGTAAGGGGTTTTCTTTCTTCATTAGAGACAATAAATTTTCATATATGTGCTATGAGTTGACTATGTAGTGGAATGAGTGATACTTTGTCTTTATATTGGTCACTACCTGACTTAGAACCAGTCTCAATTTTGCCCAAATTAGTTTAGTTGTGGGTACTTTCTGA